CAGCACCTTTTCGCTCCTGGCGCACACCCCTTCTGATGCTCCAGACCCCAGGCAGAGATCCTCAACTTTTGCTTTATGTTTTATATCCATTGCATTTAGGTTTTATTAACATATTTTAAGCTTAGCAAAATAGGGCTTGTGTGTGTGTTGAGTCCTACAATTTAAAAGTAGTTTCTAGGATACATCCTGCGATTGATAATTTAAGTTAAACAATGATTAAGCCCTTGCGCTCTGATATTTTCCTCCCCTGATTGGCTTTTGTCCATTCCCCCAAAATTTTGGAAAAAAAAGGCAAAATGGAAATCCTCCTCCTGAGCGTCTCAGCAGCACAGGCACGTGCAAGCAGCTGAGGTGGGCTGACAGCCTGGCCGAGCACAGGGGTCCTGTGGGGCTGCTCCCCTGCCTACCTCTCCCGGGACCACCTTGCCCTTGCAGGGACCGAGCAGCGTTTCCCAAAGTTGCTTTCTTTTACCTCCAGCATCTCCTTACCTAGGGATGCCCAAAAGCAGCTTGATCCACCCCCCTGCAGCCCTTCCCTGGGAGATTCGCTTCATCGAGGAGGAGAAAAACCCAAAGCACAGACAAATGCACAGACCATATTTTGTATTTAAATGCCTGGAGAAATGTGCCACCGGCTGGGTACAGCTCTCTCATCATAGCCCGAGTCCCAGTTACCAGGAGACTGGGTTATTTAGCTGCTTGTGGATTAAATCTACGTTTTGACACCTCATTTCCCCTCCCCAGCTGCTGTCACAGGAACTTTATTGCAGAGACGGAGCCGCGCAGGGGAGTCTCATTGCAGGAAAGGCTCCGTGCCCCCACCCGTGGCTGTGGGATGGGGTGTGATCAAACCACAGCCTGAGGCAGAATGACCACAACTACAGCCACACCGGGTTGTGCTTTTAGAAGCCTTGTATTTTACTGTAAACCTCAGCAAAATCTGGCTGCTTTGATCACCTGGATTGTCTCTGCCTCTGGTAGCCATACGATGGGAACGCTGCCCGATGGAGAAGCCTCTGAGTGATGGTTCCTGCACCTCTTTTCCATCACCCGAGCTCCGTTAAGCCTCGTTCCACGCCTTTGCAGCCAGCTGTGGCAAAGCCCCGGTGCAGATGTGCGGTGGTTATGGCACACACACGCTCACAGGCAAGGCTGCGAGGCGACCGAGTGCTGCGGGAAGCTGCCCCGGCGCCGAGCTGCTCCTCCTGGAGCCACAGGAACCGACTGGAAATCACTCAGCTTCCCCACAGGGACAGTGACAGATATGTCCGTGCCGGAGCTGGACATGTCTCAGGAAGCCCAGGACCTCATGTGAGTGGGAACTTGCTACAGACATCCAACAGTTAACGACAAAAAAAAAGAGAAACCCATGAACTTTGCTGTTAATTTCTATTGCATCTTCATATATTGATGAGACTCGTGAAGGTAAAGCAAGCCTAGGATGTTAATTAAAGTTTCTCTGTAGAGCGCAGAGACCAGAGGGTGCTCGGGCATACTTGCACACTCTGCCGCAGGGACAAAGCTGATGTACTCTCTTTGCTCCAAAGGAGCTCTGCTGCCCCGCAGCAAACATACCCGACTGAATAAATTGCAAAAATAACACACTCAGCTGATACTTCGAGCATGACTTTTGTTGGTTTGAATTTAAGAGGCGAAAAAAACAAAACAAAACAAAAAAAAAAAAAACAAAAAAACAAAAAACAAACAACAAACCACCAAAAAGTTCATTGGTGTTTACACACAAGGGAGCATCAAAAAAAATGATATACAATCATTCTGCAAGGAAACCAGCTAAGAACTATTTGTGGGAGAGAGAAACTCCTCATTGTCCAAGGTCATGGTAACTCATACCATAATATTTTCTCAGCAATTCGCATGACAAGGATGACTTCTAATACAACCCTTTGGACAAAGGAGATACCTAAAATGAAAATACATGCGACTTCACTGACCTGCTGTTGAGTTCTGCATTAACAGAACTGGGCTGGGTGAGCGTAATGACCCTGCCAGTGCCCACACGGTGAAATGTTTTCATGTGATGAGTAATAATTATCACCAGTAAAATGGCCTTGTAAATGTTCTGCATTCAAGGAGCTTTTAAAAAGGTTCATTAATCCAACTGCTACCAGGTTTGGCTTATCATCTGTATTTTTGCAACACATTTGTTTCTCTTTCCTTCCAATTAAAGCGATGCCATCTTTTACACATAAGGCAATGAAAACAACTGTAGGTACTATGAAAACTTACTTCATCGTGTAAAAAGACGGCAGCAAGTCCCACAGCCCGGCCAGACACGCTCGGGGTACACGGAGCCACTACAGCCTTGTGCTGGCATGGGCTGTGCTGGAGCTTTTGGCTCAATTACATTTTCTGGCCCTTTCTGGTGCTTCCTACCACCCTCTGCTTCAGGATCTCCGGGCCGTGCCCTCCATCATCACAAGTATCTTAATAGAAGAGAGTGCACCAGCCCAGAGAAGAGGTCATGGTAATCAGGCCTGTGAATCATTTCCACTAACGAAGCCACTGAAAATGAGTCAGTCCTTGGCTTTGTGTGGCCAAAACACAAAGCAATTAATTCATTGCAGCGCTTTTCTTGTGGGAAAGGGCTTTTGCAGTAACGCAGAAAGGTTTATAGAAATAATTCCTAAATCCAGCAACATTTATCAACTTCTTGGAAATATAATTGTGTAATAGGTAGAGCAGGAGGAGAAGGGGGAAAAGTCTTTTTTAAGGAAGTGGGAGGTCTCCCATTTAGTGGTTTTATTCCTCAGCTTAATCCTCCAATTTCACATGGATGCCACGGACAATTAGCACCAATCTTCTCTCTGGAGGCCGAGCTCCCGCCGGAGCGGGCGGAAGAGCACGGACAATGGACAGATCCCATTCCTTTCCTCCATGGCCGTCCTACCTTCTCCGTAGGCAATTTGATTTCCTCCAGCACGTGCTGTTCTCCCTTTATCTGATCCTTCTCCCCTTGGGTTGCTTCTCCTTCTTTCATGGGAAGTGGAAATCAAGATCTTGAGATGAGCTTCCTGCGATACCTGGAAAAACAACCTCAGAGCAACTTTCAAATGACTGCAAAATATTTTTTACAATTCAATTGTACGAGCAGTTCTGGTATTTGGACCAAAAACAAAGCAACTGCTCTGTAATGCAGCTGAGCTTTTCTGCCTACAACTGTTACTGATGCAAAATAGTTTGACCATTTTGAGATTTACCGTGGAATAACCTGTGCTGGCACCTGGCCCGGCCTGTTTGCAGAGTCCGTTCAGCCCCATGCCAGGATGGCCGTGAACCCCCCACCATGGTGGGGGAGGCCCGGCAGCCCCCAGAGCACCTCGGCGCCGGTTTCGGGAAGGAGCAGCGAGCGCTGGGCCCAGGGCGGGTGACGGGGAGCAGCGGCTGCGTCGCTCAGAGCTCTCTTCCCTCCAAGACTCCGTCCTGCAGCCCCTCCGTGCCCTCCCCAAAGCCTCCATCCTTCTCCCAGGCACAGCTGGCCGAAAGGAATACTGGAGAACTTGATGCTTCTTGCGTAGAAATAGTGAGATTATTAAATTTAGGGTGATTTGCTATAGAATCTCAATCTCTATCAGCGTTTCTTGCTGCCCCCGCCAGAGCCAAAGGAGAGATCCTGTGTCCATTGGGATCACTCCCTCGCTCAGAGGCTGCATCCCAGCATTTCAGTGTGCTCATCCCAGCCTGGCCCAACTCAGATGGTCACAGCCCAAGAAATCCCGGGGTTACCAAAACTTAAGCAAATCTAAAATGTGGGGTGGGGGGTGAGAGGGAACAGGGACGCGACGCTGAAGTTTCAGAGATGCTGTTTCAGGCACCCGCAGTACAAAAGGTGCGACGCAAACCCTCCCACCCAGAGCAAGCACCAGGGAAATCACATCGCTGGGTTTTCTGCAAAGGTCACGGCGTGAGGCAGCACTTCAAACCGCTATGGAAATCACAAATATTGCCCATCATCAGGGCCCAGCCAATGCAGCTGCCTCCCCTTCCTGGGGAAGGACGGAGCATGCTGCTTTCACCAGTCAAAAGATGAAACCTGTTTCTGGGAGATTAACTTTGAATTTTGTCTGAACCTGCTTGGAGGTTTACAATGCTGGAAGGAGAAAACAACCTGGCTGACAAAACGCAGGCAGGGAGGCCAAAGGTATTCTTTGGTCACTGCAGATGACCACAGAGCTGCCACTTACATGGTATAAAGTGGCTGAGCTGTCACAGACCCAAAATAATTATTTGAGCTTGGAGTTGGTGTTAACCCACGCCGAACATAAACGTGGGCTTCTTCAGACCCTGTCACCCACCGGCTTTCGGCAGCACATCCCTCCCCTGCAGCCCTGGATCTGCTCTCTGCAGAGGAACGATGGAGCAGGAGGTGGCCACAGCTTCAGGCCACCAAATGAAGAGAAACAGGAATGCCAAATATTCGAGTTCTCTGAATATACAAGACCAAATAAGGCCCAGATGCCAAGAGAGTAAACACAAGGCTCATCTACCAAGTTTGGGCAAATGTGATTCAGAGTTCCCTAATGCTACAGATTTCGCCTTGCAGAATAAACTTAATAATTCTCTCTGTGTATACTTATTCTTGTTTAAAAAGGAAGTCTCTGTGTAACCTCCATCTATCTTTGTCAGCCCCAATGGCTTGTTTGTGAGGACTATACATTTGAGAAGTTCAGCCGCGAACCAACACCATGAACAAACCGTTTCATGAGGCAGATAAGTTATGTATGTGAAACTATGAAAAAAGCCAACGCTCCCCCAAAAATGTATGGAATCCCCATTTCCTGACCTGCCAGGCTGGCTCTGAGGACTGTCTCAGGGTTTGAAAATCTGGTTACGAAAAGAAAGACAGACACCCTGAAGTGGAGATTTGTGTTACCCCTTCTGTGGAAAAGTAATGAAATACCCACAGATGATCTGCATTTGTAATCAATAACCAGGTGCAATAAAGCATTGGAACTGAATTAAACACTGATCTACAGGAAAAATTGCTACATAAGTGACATTTATTAATGTTCTGCTATATTTACAGTTTTAACATAGTAAAACTCCAAAGTGAATTACCACTTGGCAGAAAGCACAAAAGTGCACATTAAATCTACATTTATAATGCATCATAGTCTCTGCTAACACAAATTATAAAAGCAAGAATTACAGGTATGTTAGGAGTTGTCTCAAGAGTCCCAAGCCAAATTAAAAAAAAAAAAAAAAAACAAATCAAAAACAAACAAACAAAAAACAAAACAGAAAAAAAAGCCTTTGTTTTGCAAGGCAATTTTTTATACAAAATTGCAACTTTATCTTTCATTTTTACACTACCAATGTGTACCGCGAAAATCTCTATATAGTCCAAAAAGTAGGCAGTAGGAAAGTAAAGTATACTACAACATTGAGAATATAGACTATTAAAAAAATTAATACTTGTGCCACCTTCAAAATAATACTCTCTCCTGCTTACAGCTCAGGAATCCGTCCTGCCGAGGCCCATCCCTCCTGCCGGCCGCGGGGCGCGCAGGTGCTGCTGGATTTCGGGGCAGAGCCCTGGCTCCAGCCCCCCCCCCCCAGCTCAGCCCTTCGGGTCAGCGTTCCCCGGGGCAGAGCCCAGCCCGACCCGCTCCGCGATGGAGGAGGAAATAAAGCAAGCCTGGCCCCTGCTGGCTCCGGGGACGGGGCTCCTGCTACCCGAATCACGACAGAAACTATCTAGAGAAGCCTTTATGAGCACGTCACAGACTCGACTGCAATAGCTTTGTCAAACATTAGCCACTAATGATTCAATGATTACAGAATTCTGCATTAATTATTAAAATTTTACACCTAGAAACAAATAGAAAGAAATGTTTCTCCTTTTTTTTTTTCCCAACAGTACTTTTATTTATTTATTTTAAAGCAGGTGATTATTTTTTCTTCTGCTCCAGATTCTTGATTCACTTCCTGCAGGTGTCCTGTTGCTTCTTGAGGGAGAATTCACTAATGCAGGAAGACATTTGCCAGAAAACATCTGTTGGAGAAGGATATTGAATATTGAAACTATAGTTAGATTGTTATTTTGGATAAGAGAAGGATGTAGTTCACAAAGAATGCAGGATGTCTAAAGGCTTGTAAAGCACCTCGGTACACAATGACGTGACTCTAGCAAAACGCTCCGTAGTTTTGTGTGTACTTTACAGTTCTGAAGAGTTAAAATTCCTCAGGGGGAAACGGATACTAAACCAGACGACGCTCTCAAGAAACACTGGCATAAAAAAACATATGGGTGTATGAAATCGCACTGTGAGAACAGAATCTGACTCGCTCTTCAGCTGCTGCACCCACCCAGGGTGATGATGGGGTTTGGATCTGTCTGTCGAGTGTTCTGGTTCGAGGGGGACACCAGGTCCCCCACCCCGCCCGTCCCAGCCACACACCCGAGATCCAGCACTGCCCACGCAGGCTCGAGAGGAAGCACCAGCCTCCCGACCAGACCCCTTTTCACCAGCTATTATTTTCCTAATTTTCTAAAAACTATCCTTGCTCTAAAATGAAAATGATCGTTCACCATGCCTTCTTCATCATGCCCTGCAGAGGAGATCTAACCTTAAGAACAATAATACACTGAAAATTCAAGTCTTTTGTGGCTTCCCTGCTCAGAATTTAAGATTAAATATCTACTTTCAGGCAAAGTTTCAAAGTTATAATATTTAGAAGTGATTCCGTACATTTATCTCAATCTATCCAAAAGAGAGAGTGCTTTTTGAAATGTTTTTTAAGTTAACAAAAAATAAACAAATAAAAAAATTTTAAAACCCCTACATCTCCATCCTCACAAGTAAGGAGTCAGGCAAAGTCTCTAAAATTGTAATTTCAAATTCCAAACACAGGAAAAGACTGTGAAACAAGACACCACATAGTTCCTTTAATAAATGAAAAATTATGTTTCGGAAAAGAAGCAAAATAAAAAAAATTGTTCAGTGAGAACAAACTACAGGTGACACAGCTGATGCCTAAACACTCATGCTACGTGAGCATACAACTGGGGAAATAAACCCTCTGGTGACTCAGCAGGAATTTGAGAGGATATTACAAATCCTGGAGGAGGTCATAAACTGTAACTTTGTTAAACACAATTGAAACACTTCAATAAATTCACTGAACTATTTTTACACACTACCACCAGTGGAAAACCCAAGCTAGAAAACACTGCAACAATGCCTGTTTTGTGTAGCATGTTCTCATTATAGACTAGAAACAAAGCAGAATCTTATGCAATTTGCAGTTTCTAATAAAAGGAGAGTGCATTTGGAAAATCAATCCTCAGTTTTAAAATCTGAACAACTTAATGACCCCCAATTTAAAGCTGAGGTATGTTTGGTTTCTTTATACCACTGTCGCAGCTGCAATTGCTTCAACCCTGTCTTAGGGAAATCTAGCGTTATTATGATATTTCTAAAGGGAGCATCATGTTGCATTCACCATCTGGGAAGCAACCTATTACAGGATTTCCTTCCCCTCAGGGAGGGACAGTTAATGCAAGGCCATTATCTGCTGGAAGCAGGAAATTATGCTAGAAGGGTTCAACTACTTAAGCCTCCTTCTTTAAAGTCCCATTAAGAAGGCAGCAATGTTAAGGTTCAGCCTTAAAGCGAAAGACTTTTAGGCATTAAGGGTTTTGAAAGATGTTCAGGCAGGACAGTATGTTCAAGTATGTGGGAGGGCATTCCGAAGAGCAAAGGTGTGCAAGAGTTTAATTTCTTCAGGAACTTGGCAGAAAATTCCGGCAGCACGCAAAATTTAGACAAATTGTTCTTTCTGGGCCATGAGCCAAAGACATTGGCACAACCTTCTAACAACTTTTTGTGACCTTTACTCATGTTTAGGATGTACCATGTGTTTCAGGCACATGATTTACTCTGAAAGACACACCTGTCAAATACAGTGCAACACACCAAGAGGCAGAGATTTTGTTCTTACAATTCAAGACATGGAATCTAGTGAATATACAATTCCTCAAAGCAAAAACTTTAGAAGAAATGTCAGGTATTCCTCTGCTCCCCACAGAGTCAGTCTGGACTCTGTAGAAACAGGAGCCGCGAACAAGATACCAAGAAACAACTGTTTTCTGCTGCCTTGTGTTCTAAAAATATCCAAGAAAAGAAAAGTCTAGCCTAAACAAGTCACTAAGTAGAGTTAAAAGCAAAACAAATTCAGGAAGGCAGAAAGTTTACCTTTAGTAAATAAAGAGAACTCTGGTCCTGGGGAGAGTGGAAAAAGTATCTGGCATCTTCCTAACCTTTGCATAATTAATAAATCCTCTGAGAAACAGCAGAAAACCTGGATGGAAGAAACACATTTGTCCAGTTAACACAAGTGTTGCTTCATCAATTAGAGAGGGAGCAGTTCAACTAACCATTACTAGTACAGAGGGACCTAAGTCACTGGGATGCGCAATAGCTGATTAAATACAAGAAATTTTTTTTTGTATCAATGAGACCTGATCTTTCAATTTCAGGCAATCTCAAAAACAAACTTTCCTTAGGCAATCACAAAACTTTTGACTCCAAATAAGATCCAGTCACTTCCAAAAGAGGAAAAAAGAAAAGAAAAAAAGAAAGACCACAACCCATTCTTCCATTTAGGATAAAAGAACAGACACAACATCAGTTACTACGAAGACAAGCATTGCTCTCTTCTTTACTTCTTCTGGATGACAAATAGGATGCTGCCACCAAGAAATGACAGCAAGAGGACAGTGTTTATGTATGACTTTAAAACCTAGAACGCGTTCAGTAAGAGGAGAAGTACTATGAGGGTTACATTTCAGTTTAACATCTATATGCACGTATTTTAATATCCAGCAAAGCTATGCTCACAAAAGCCCTAATCGCACTTAACGGAGTTTTTAAGCCTGCATTCCCTCTTTCCCCCCGAACCAACACTCACCTAGTACGAGGAAGACCCACCAAAGCCAATACTGGCCATCAAAGTAACCAGGAAAATAGGTGGAGAACTGAAAAAGAAAAGAAACAAAAACGTACAAGTTGGAGCACACGGAAGTTTCTGAACCCAAATCTATTCTCTCTAATCTCAGCAGTAACCAGATCAAGCCCCCTGCATACAAGAGAGATTAGAGAATGCCACATTTCATCAACTGCACAGACTGCAGGGAACAAGCTACCTCCGTGAACTTTCATTTACAATTTTTCTATACATCCACACTTTCATTGAAGGTTTTTCTACACACATCAGACCAACTCTAACCAAGGGGAATGGAACCAATTCAATACCAGCCATAAATTCTTGCAATCAGTGCAACAGAAAGACACTACTGGGCAAATACTCCTGTTTTCCCTCACACCTTTGATGCTTATAAAGCACAGTTGTAGTTTCTGAAAGGGAAGACCAGGTCTGCAGCACTGCATTGTGTTAATCACACTGTAAGGCTGGATAGTATATCAAACAAAAGTACAGTTGAAAAAGAAATCCCAAATCTGTGGAACCCTCTGGCAAGGTTTTCTGTTAGGAAAATTCCTGCCTACTGAATGAAAGACACCAACACTGTTAGAGCACGGAAGTTCACTATGTCAGTGGTAAATACAGTATAAATTTTTTTTCATTCTATTCTAGTTTAAAAAGGTAAGCTTATTATCAAAGTTAAATTAAATCCACAGTTAAGGTCACATGTTTCTGTCACACTTCTTAATCCAACAAATAGTTCTTAACACCACTGTTACAAGATGACACCAAAAGTCTTAATTTCTACAGAAAAAGTTAACAGATGCTGTATTTACAAATTACAATTCCTAGCCCAAAGATATTAGGTATGAAGTGACAGCCCTAACAGTAATGCTTTCTACTACTACTTATGCACAGCTAATCAGATTTTTTGCTTGAAATTCAAAATTTGGCCTGAAATGTCTGCATGCCTTTCACAGACTTCTCCTTTTCACAGGCTCCAAATAAAGCTTTTCTGTTATTTTCTCACAGTTCCCACAAAAAATAGTCTTTTTTTTTTTTCTGCTTCTTTCAGCATCAGCACATCTACATCCTCTTTTTTTTTTTTTCCTTTTTTTCTTAAGAAAGGTTTCTCTTTCTCCCCCTCCCAGTTTTAAAAATACTACACCAGCCTTCCTTGCTTCCACAGGCAGAGGTCTGTGCCCAGCAGGGCTGTACCTCTGCATCCAGGCTCCCCTAAATACAAACCAGCTCTCATCAGTCACCTCTTCCTCTCGCTGTGTGATCTAGTGGAAAGGAGCACAGCGGATGTTTTAGCAGCCTGGATACACCCAGAGTTTATGTGGAAATAAAACCAGCAAAGCCTGCTTCCTCCTGATCTGCTCCTGCCTGTGCCGCAGGCACGTCGCACCAGAGGGCACCAGCGGGCTTCTCCCATCCCAGTGACAAAGCAGTGGCTGCCTCTTCCTCCTCCAGCAAAAAGTGAACCGCACACCTCCTAATATTTAAAACCCCATTTCCCTCTTCTCACTGGCTACCCCACATTTTAGAGAATTATGGTTTTTTTCAGAGGAGCACCTAAGGAACATCATATTGGAGAGAAACGTCCCTGTGCTGACAGCAGGGCTTGCTTTATCTGAATAAATGTTTTACAAAGATCAGATCATTGTTGCTGCTCAACATGTAAACACGTTTTGATCCAATACAGTGGCTCTGTCAGTGTGCCATATTGGGTGTGCAATCTTTATTGCCTTTTATTACAACATTAATTCCAGCATATAAACAGGACAGAATGATGAAAAAACTCTGTTGTTAGTGAATAAGGGACTCAAAATCTACTTTGTTATAAAAAGCTAAATTTATAATGAAATTCAGTGTAAGTGAGATAAAAACAAGCTAGGGAAAACATACAAGAGTCTACATACATATTTTTGCACTACACAACTTACCCTAACAATAAGGATCCACTTAATAAGAGACAGACCAAACCCAGAAATGGCCCCATATCGTCCTGCAGCTGAAGTAGTCAGACAGAAAGACAGGAAAAATCCAATCCAGTTGAAGAGGAACGCCACTGAGAAAACAGGAGAAAAGCAGCTGGTTAAGGCCTCTTTATATTCCAAGGAGAACAGAAAACATAAAACCCTTGCACACAGGTTTTTCCTGGTGCTACATAAACATAGGTGTGAAAATAACTATAGCTATTTAGGGTCACTGGTTGAAAAAAAGCAAGTTCCACCATGTACTTACTGAAGAATGTTAGCATGAAAATGCCATCATTTCCTATCCTCAGCTGATCGGTGTCGTCAAAGTCATCCCGTGTCACAAAGTCCTCATCCTGCAAGGCAAAGGGAGACAAGACGTGGGTGGATTAAAGTCAGTCCAGTTCATACAGCAACCCCAATTCCGCACGTGGCTCTTAAAGAAAGGGTCAGCAAATTGTACAGCCCTCAAAAAGCAGTGTACAATGGAGGGATACAAAATGCTGTGTTTACTTTTAAGGAAAGCCCCTCGTGGGTCATGAGGGGGAATCCTAAATCTCAAAAGGCTACAAATGCAAGTGGGAAAAAATCCTGCTTCTCATCCTGAGATGATGCAGGGCATGAAAGATTAAAAAACCTATATATTGCTAGTGACTTAAGATAGTCAAGATCCAGCATGTTCTTGTTCTCCCTGTAAAGAATTCCCCTACTCATAAAAAAAAAAAAAAATTAAATTTATCTCAGCAAGGAATTTGGCTTCTGTGAAGAAGTATAACACACAGTGGACATCTAGCGCTACCAGGTGTAATTATTCTGAATGAATGGTTTTATCATCCATGTATCAGCTACACTGACCTCTGGAAAAGTCAACCAAGTAGGCAGCAGGAGTGTCACGGGCAGATATGCTCAATGCCTGAATAATTAATCCCAAATCTTTTTTTAAAAAAACAGTGACAGTGCACACGGATACAGTACAGTGCCTCTGTCAACTTGCCAAACTAATCTGGATAGCACATGCCAGCCATACTGAGGTGTCTTACATCATCATAGCAGCCCAGAGGGGAAAAAAAAAAAATGCTATTAGCCACAGAACTCTTGGGAGTGTGTAATATCACCACCCCAGAAAGCTTAAAAAAAAAAAAAAAAAAAGTCATGACACTTGATCAGCAGGAGTTAAGAAATGTGAAGGATGTGGAGCCAGCCAAGCACACTCACCCTGCCAGGAACCAAGGGAATTGTGGCTTCAGCCTTGGTTCTCTCTGCCTCATCATAAGTAGGCAGTGTTGTGGCCACATTGTAAGATGGAGGGTTTGGAAATCCTGACTCATCCTTGTAGTCAAAATAAGCTGCAAAAAAAAAAATAAAAATATAGAAGTAACTTGTCAGTTCCTTAAGAACACTGTGTTGGGAATGAGAAGCGTTGTAAATAATATAAAGTTTAAAAAATCTAATAGTAATACACAGAGCACTACTTCAGCATGCCTCGCTATACTCATTTTTAAACCAATTACACATGCTGTGTCTCTCCTGACTTCAGCAAACAGAAGTAGCCATATTTTCAAATTCAAGTCGTTTGAGTGAGTCAAAGAAGGATCACTGCAAGCCTTAGGCCACTGGTGACCAATTTTTCCAGAGACAGCTTCCAAACTGTCTTCTGATGGAGAGGAAAGGGATTGGAACAAAAACCAAACATAGCATTTCTGAGCCCCAGTTGCTGAGACGCACTAAGGCACTGGACCTAATGGGGCATCTTCACGGTTAGTGTGCCAAGGCAGGACACTCAACAGGCAGCTTGAGAAACACAGTATTCAGACTTCTATCCAAAGCTGGCCAGCTGTTTGAGAGCCTGAGAGCACGTTGCATTTGATTCACAAATCTTATTTGAACAATTGACTATGAAAGTTCTGGAGGGAAAAAAATGGTAAGATTTACCTAAGCCAAAATACTCTGTTACATAACCAACACAAAACAAGATGTTTTGGTAAAAGCTATTAGTGACATGACAGTATGATGATTCAGAAGTAGTATAACCCTTATGATCACGTCCTTAGTTAATGAAAACTGCAGAGAGAGTGAATTCTTTAATCCCTTTTAAGTAACAAATCCTTTTTGGAAGGAGCACAGCATCAGCCAAATAACGAGAGGGGAGCCACAAACCCTCACAGCACTTTGATCTTAACTGTCTTCAATCTACTAAGAACACTGTGAAATGTAACTTGAACACCACTTGATGGGATGACATCAGATGAATGTAGCCAAAATGCATCTTCTAAACCACAAGTAACAATAGTCTCTTTGGATCAATTCTGATCCTCTGCAGCCTCAGTAAAGATGCTGCAATGCCATCCGTCAATAAGGAGAACAATTAAGGAGGTAAGAAAGAAGAGAGCAAACCTAGCTATTTCCTTTCAGTTAAATTTACCTGTATTCTCTGCAGAAATGCTGCTGTAAGGCGGAGGGGCATCATTCACCACTGGTGCAGTCTCGCCTGGCTCCTCTTCATTCTGCAGCTGAACAGACCCACACACAAGAGAGATTAATGGGGTTTCTTGAGTTCTGTGAAACTACCTCTGTAGTTTTAATTACATAGGGTAGACTCTTCTGGAAGAAGGCTGTTCTACAGCATCATGGGGCACACGAGAAGTTGCTCTGCTTCACAACAAAGTACTCCCACTTGAAATGATCAATACGCCATCTCAGTTTTAATGTGTTTTTAAATCATATCCTCACACGCCTGGATTTTGACAAGGCACAGCATATACCACTTCAGTCTCTTCCCTGGCACTTCCTCAGATTCCTCAGCTCACACTGCTTAGGAGCTGCAGTTGCATCTGGTTTAGTCGAGGAAATAGCAGGAGATACTCAACAAAAGGCTCCATTGCTGCCTGTGGCTTTGCTAAGGAAGGGTTTTTTTTCCATGGATACATTATGTAAGGATACACATAAGTATGAATCTTGCCATTTCCCTTCAACCTTTCACACTGTAGGACTGAAAAGGAAACAGTTTATTTTGTGCACTGTGCTTCCCACAGGCTCTGTATAAATAACCCTACAGCTTATCAAATATACAGTGCCACTTGCATGAAGCAGGTATGCAGACACAGGCTTTGATCAGAGAAGCTAGCAAGGAGCATTCAAAAGCAGAACATACCAAAAAGGAGTTTACAAATCACCTGCCAGCTAATTTTTGTCTTCTTTCCATTTCTCATTATTTCATCAACAAAGAAATTGAGTTTTGATGCAGAAAGACAACTCCTTTGAAAAAAACACCTTGGGACTGAACCACTGGCTTGACCAGAGGGGTACTACCCTATTTTGAAATCACCACGAAATGGCAGCAACTCTGCAGCCTCTTCCTTAACATCTTCCCAAACTATCCCCCCTGCACACCCCTGCTAACATTCTTGAAGCCATTCATGACATTTTGCTTTTTGTTCTTTGGAGGCACATGCTGCCATTCAAGTCCTTCTCAAGCATTTAAAGGGGGGGAGGGGGGGGAGGATGGGATATGCTCTTATTTTACTTGTATGTGTTATTGGGGAGGGGGAAATCAGCTCACACTTCTAACTGAAGGCCTTGTTTTATACCTAAGTGTTCTGCGTCTTGGGTTTTTATTCCTTTTGCTGCCTAAGATCAAATATCAGACTATATCCACATCCTCTGTGAAAGTCAAAGCCAAAACTTTTTCAGATGTTTTAAGCGCAATTCATTGGACATTTGCATCCCAACCACAGCCGCATGTCTGAACTGTGAGACACCCGAGTCCTACAAGCTTGCTGAGGGGAGAGTCGATCATTTCATTTCTCTGCCACTAACTGGACGGCCACACACCTCCACCAGCTGTGGGACCACGAGCATGGACAGAACCAGTAACTGCAGGCCGGTGGTTCATCGCACTGCGGCCAGACACCGTGTCCCTGCTGGCTTTCCACCTCCTCCGTGCGGAGGCTGCTGTACTCCCCACTCCAGTTAGGTCAAAAAGACTTTAAACACACATGCTGTTAAAGGTTTAAATGACTTGAGTTAGCAGGCAATGGCACGAGCAGTTCTGCTGGCCCGTCCAAGGGGTCAGCCAAGAGCAGGAAAGGGAAGGAAACGACACTGGGACTGGAGAAAATTCCGCACCACTGTCACTGGGTCCAACTGTACCAAAACAACAGAACATCAGAGCCCTGCACTCTGTTTTGCCTTTCACGAAGCTCACCTTGCTATTCTAACAGCCAGCCTCCACCCTCTTCCCCTTCACATTCTCCAAACAGAAGAGGTGGGGAAAAAAAAAGAAGAGGGAGGTGGTCAGCCCCAAGCTTTCAGGGTAAGAACTGCTCACATGGCATAAAGCTGAACCGCTTCCTTGAAGGAGAAATTAATTAAGTGATCTGGATGAAAATTTAATCCGTATTACGCCAAGAGCACCTCCTAGCACAGACACTGTGGCTGTCAGCAGGAGACATCGAAAATGCTGGTGCCCGGCCAGGCGTGAGCCCACACCGAATGGATCCCTTCCTGCACCCCGGGCCGCGGGGCACACCGGGCGGAGGTGGCAGGTACCTGCCTCCATGGCTGCAGCTTTAATTAGCCTCCGGGCACCAGGCAATTAACACAACAAAGCCCCAGCAAGTCTTACAACAGCAATGCACCTTCATCTTTTTCAAACCAACTAACTCAGCGTGAGCCCTTACCAAAAAACAAAAATGTGTTATTTTATAAACCCCGGGAGTTCAATCATTAGAAGAAAATGTAAACTAACTTGTGAAGTAATTGTCTATTAAAATAAGCTTTTAAAAAATCAAAAACAAAAACAAAAAAAAAAAAAAAAACAACAGAGCACTGTTGCAAAAATTCAAGAGCAGCCTGCACACAGCACGAGAAGGACAACCTGGAAGAACCCAGTAAAACGGAGTGTCAAACTAGTTGATTCAGTCTCTGCTGGCTCTGTAGTCTATGAATTCTCAGAAAACATGTTTTTCTGTCTATCCATGGAAATTCAGTACCTCTCCCCTTGTTTTTCTTCTGCCTATGCAGGACCCAGTCTATTAACAAAGGAAGAAAGGCTCTGGCACGCTGGGGATGCTCTCTGGCTACTGCATGCCCTGCATTAGCTGTGATCCCAGCAAGGGGGTGGCAGAGATGAAAACCCTCATGTTTGTAAAACAGATGATATACACAACCTAAAGTACCATCACCGAGGAGGGGAAAGGAAGGCACTAGATGTGACAACACTGGAAGAGATGAAACAAAAGAGGACACAGACAGTTGAGTGTAATATTCATTCCTACCACTGGTTCTTTCAATAGTAAAAAGAAACACATATTCTTACAATAGTGGCGTGTGGGAGAAAGCAAGCTGAACTTATTGCTGGCTTCAAACCATTACAATTCAGGTAATGACACAAAAGACGCAGTTACTTTCTAAAGTTGAGCTAGAGGCAGTAGGAGGTATACAGTTATAGAAAACAGATTTTTCTTCTAATGGACAAGGTACACAAATGCCTTCCAGCCATTGTAATGATTCCAGGCATCTAAAATTCAACTAAGTGCTTATTAGCAAAGCGGTAAAGGGTTCATGTGACAGGAAGAATGAGTCACCAGGCCTGGGCTGGGCTGGCCACTGCCCTCACCATGAGGGAGGCTGGATCCCGGGGTGCACCGGCCACCCCCCGGCCGCTGCCCACAGCCGCCAGCGCCCCGAGAACCCACAAACCCCAGCTCAGCTGAAGTCTGCTTTGCCGAGGCTGTGGGGTATTCCTTGTTTGAGTCACTGGTGGATTTTAGCTTCCAAAGCATGGGTCTTGGATTTGTGGCATTAAAAAACAGACAGTCTCTACAGCAGTGCATATGGTTATTAAAACAAAAGTTTGGCTGTGATTTTTACACCAGATTGCTAAAACAACAGCAAGTTGCCTGGCAGGACGAGGTAAGGCCCAGTGTCATTCATTTTCCAAAAAACACCATCAGAAGCTTGGCTCTGAGCAAGACATCGCCTCTGTCTGCCACTTCCCCCTGGCTGACATATATCACATGTAAATAAATACACAGTTCAAAACTTACAAAATGTTTTGAAAAATTTCCACATAAACTTCAAAGAAAGCACTTCCAATAAATACATTTGTTAGTTCTTCCAAATTGTCTAAACATTGCACATGGGCTGCTGACAGAGTTTTGGATTATTTTTTTTTAACCTCCCCTTGCTACAAGTCCTTTGATTGCATGCAAATACTCTTTACACTATATCAGCATTACTACAAGCTTCACCTTAGCAATATATCATCAGTAATATATTAACTCAGCCATGTATCATCAATGTTTACTGCAGTTCAGTTCTTATTTTATGTTCTGGCATGCAAGGTAGAACACCACAGAAATCCCACAGAGGAATTCTAGAATGAAGATAACACTAATCAGATCACATTTTTGTTGTTACTATGGTTTCTCTGAGATTTCCAAAAGGCAGATATTTAGGCTAACGACAGAAAAGGGAATCAATACTTTTTTAAATGGTGACAGGATTGATTTTTTCAGGGCAATGAAATCATAACCTTTGCAAGCCAAATGTTTAAAAAAAAAAAAAAAATGTGCATCACTACTAAATTTGAGAGTACTCCAGCAAGGCAACAGCCTGCCCACAAAAAGGTTACACTTCATTCCCATTGCAACACCCCTTACTTTTCTCCTTCCATATCCCTGGCCTTCTGGTAGCAAATGAAAGCTGTTGGGAACTCTGAAGAAGAGCATTATTTTTATTGAGTTATGCTTCACTTTAAACGTACCCCGATTTGAAATCCTGACTTTTGCCCATTGCTGTTGCAGATTCCTATAGCTTAATATCAACTTACTAATCAGCAGGAATAATGACAAGCTATTAGACAAGCCAACCCACGGGCATCAGCCCTCTCTTTGATGAGCAAATAACCAAGCGAACCCTCCCCTGGCTTCTCCCTGCCTCGGGAGATGCTGATGCTCCTGCGCAGACCTCGCTCCAGGGAATCGATTCTGCCCAGGGCCCTGAGCACAGCCCAGCTCTGCGGAGCAACCTCCCAAGGTCTCTGACAACCCGAGCTACTTGATTTCAATAAAGGACTGAAAACTGTGCCCTGCTCCCCCTCCCAAAAAATGCCTTTTCTTTTTTCCAGCTGGACCAGCTCCTGGGTGCTCCCACGCAGCGGGATGCACGGAGCAAGGACCAGAAATCAGCAGGAGCATCCGCCTGAAGGGCGTTTGCAACAACCCTCCCAGTTACCAAAGTAAAAACACAAATCCCAATGTCTTTTATGTCCACCAAAACACAACCCATGCTCACGAGGATGTTGTTCTTCACTGACTCACTGCAGTTAATGGCCTGACAACATGGAAATACACCTCAGTCCTGGGAAACACACTGATCTAATTCCCTTGCCTCTGTTCAAACTGGGAATTATACTGGTCTGGCTGGACTGTAAACAATCACCTGGTCCAGCACAAACCTGCACCTGCAGATTGTCCTTAGGTTTGAGTGTTCAAAGCCTTAATGCAAAAGAGGTAGGTTTTAACCTTAGATAGCTGTAATTAAATTTCAGACACTTAACAAAGCATAAGGCCTGACCATAATATCTAGAATCAGATTAACATTTTTCTGGACATTAAGACACCACAGAAAGAATTCTGGATCTTTTAAGCATTTTAAAATATCACCTTTTTTTTTTTTTTTTTAATTGTCATACAAAAAATGTTAAGTATCTTCAATGAAAAAAAATCCCATTGTGCTACCATAGATCAAATTCAGATATTTTACAAGAGACAGAAACAGAATGAATGGATACACCTTAATATTGACTTTTTCTTACTAGTCCCAATGACAAAGAACCAGAATTCACCCACATACAGAACTTTTGCTACTTGCTTTTGGTATGGCTACTTTTAACACATGATGCCAAGGCCTCATAAAGAGGTACTGCATCTCCTGTGAGCCACTGAACAACCCGAAGGCCAGAGGGATTGTTCCTACATCTGCTTCCCAGATGGGGTTTGGGAGCTCCACTGAATTTTAGCGATGAGAGAAAAAGTCACCAAAGCAGCCCTGCTAAGAGTCCAACACAGTCCTGAGACCCAAGATAATATTTTATTAAACAGTTTGCATGCAAGGCTACTTTCTCCTGTTACACAAGCTACATGATAATACTGGACTACTACTGTTTCACTGCCTTTCCCAAGTCCTTTGAGTTTTAGAGACGGAATATATTTTAATTCTATCATTACTTTTTCACATAGAATCACTAATCCCTTGCAAACTCACCTGAGAGCTACTCTTGCCTTCAGAAGCGGGTGTTTCAGAACAAAACAGTCACCTGAACACAGACTGGGCTGGACATTGGGCAGCTTCAGACAAAGCGTGCGGCCCCCACCAGCTGCAGCAGAACCTAACAGCAGTGGCTGTGCAGGAGACCTGGTTTACTCTGCAACTTGTTAAAAAATCTCTACTTGTTTTATGTCAATGGACACCTCCTAGTCTCCTAGTCTGAATACAAAAAAGAAAAAAAAAAAAAAAAAACAAAACACTACATGAAAACAACCTACCCTAAAAATTTCCTTACTGTTCTTATCAGTTGCCCGTATCTTCATCAAGCACATCTGCACAGCAACAGTACCTTGCCAAGCAAACAGCCGCTGACATAGCTAATTCTAACTGCTGACATTGAGATTTGGTATATTCTCATATTTTGGTTTCAATCTGCACGCCTATTTCAACTGAAAAATTAAATACAAGGTGGCAACTGACATCTGCCTCCCTGTTTCACTCCAGCCTTCCCAGATATTAAGTAAGCATTGTAGTCCTCCATGGATTTAAACTGTATTCACATGATATCTTCAGCAATATATTTCTTCTAGTTTCACTGAAAGAAAACCAAACAAATGGTAAAATCTTTCCTCCTGTGTTTCTCATTGGCACCTCCCCTTATGAAATGATTCATGATCTGTGTAAGCCTTCAACAAGTGGAACAGGAAGAAATATCACTTAAAAAGGAATACGTCTTCATTATTTAACATGCCCACTATTTTCTAGGTGGGTTTACATTACTCATATACATCATATATATTTTCAAATGCTTCAAGTAACAAGCATGCCTTGGTTAACATACAGTGTAAATAAACCTATTAAAAGCCTGGCTATTTTTTCCAGAATGGAGGCTAGATTCTATTCTAAGGATGAAACACAGCTCTGCCACCAAACTCACAATCCAGGCGTTATGCGCAAGAGGCTTTAAGCCACTAAATCCTAACAACATCCCTGCAGAACTTTCCCAAAGGCAGGTCTAAGTGACAGCAGCCTCCCAGCATCCCTTTTTAGGACACAGCACCACCCAGAATAATGACAGCAGGGCGTGCTACAGCCTTCCTTCCTCCCAAACATCTCCCATTCCCACCTCCAACAAGCACAGCCTCGTCACCCAACCTGCAGAGGAGGAATTGAAACCAGGGGTCTGCCCCAGCCACCCTGCTCACCGCCCTGGCCCGTGCTCCAAACAGATGGGACCAGGAGAAGCCAAGATCCTTTCTCTGGAGTTTTAGCTTTATTCTTCATTGAGCTGCGTTTCCTTGGTGTATTAGATCAGACTCTCACATCACCCAAAGGCGTCATTGCAGGCTATTTTTTAGCAGATTATCTAATGCCTGAACAAAGCACAAGGGCTAGAAAGTTAGATTTAGAAAATAAACCATAATGCCATTACACACCCCTTTCACACTGCACATATTGGTGAGAAGACTCAGGTTGTGAGCTTGCAGCAGTAGAGGCTGATGGGGGTGCACAGCCCACCCCCCGTCTGCAGGGCAGCAGGGGCCGGGGAACAGGGAGGAAGAAGAAACACACAGGTTCCAAACTCAGCTATCAATTTCTGTTGTCCTCAGATCATGCTCATTAACTATCACCTTTTTTTCTGAAAATACACACACTCGAGGAATCCTACAAATATTTTACACGTCCAAATACTGCCCACACCTCAACAGTGCAGCTCCTACACACAGGCTGACACACCAGTGACACTTCCCAAAGCAGAGGTTACACGACCCAGGCGTACTTGGACTAAAGCACTACCCCTCTCCTCCTCCCACTCCCCAAAATTAACAAATTTTAAAGTTTTCAGTTCTCCTTCACTGCCTCATAATCCAGTATCTTAACGGTTAAATTATCTTGTTCTCAATTTCTACAGGCTACCCCTACTTACTGGATCCTGCATTTAGCTCTAGCCATCACCATTATCAATTTACTCCAAGTCTTTGTTGGCACACAGTACATTTGTTAATTGTACATTCATACACACAGTAAGTTTCAATGTATGGAAAAAAAATATCAACACATTCGATGCTAGAGAGACTCTCCCACCCTCTCATCTCCTCTTCATCTAAATACCAACTCTGCATCTTTAGTTTCAGAGCTTGCAGGGTTTTCTGGAGCAGCACAAGCATTTGGAGCCAGTTAAGCAATAACACACTTTATAACAATACAAGTACCAGGGTTCTGGCAGAGGGCAAGGAAAAAAAAAAAAAAAAAAAAGCTATTTCTAAACAGCTACACAAAAGTAAATGCATTTACATGTGAGTTTCTGATTCTGCACTCCACCAGTTATACCAGTCATTTCACAGGGCCTTCATTATCTGTTTGCCTTTAGCAGTATAAATCCTTTGGGGCACAGCCTGCCTCCCTAATCTCTGCAGTACCACGCAGAGTTATGCTCTACAGCAGCAGCGGTGTCTGCTATGTGTCTGTCGGATGTGTTAGCAGGATCTGGCGAAATGACAGCTTTACACATTTCTCTTTAAGGAAACCAGGATTGCGCTTATCAGTCAGGTACAGAGTCACTAAAGAGCAGCACGATAGTACCCTTCAGCACATTCTGTCACCTATTTCCACAGGCTCAAGGCGATGGGACACCAAGCTAGATCCCTTTGTAAAAGACATTTGTGAAGACGTTTGTCGGGGTCAATGCCAACAGCAGGACTCTGACAGGAAAGGCGATTAGCGAAGAGATCTGGTTATTTGTACCTACCATTTCCGAGAACAACAACAAAGAGATTTGTCTTTGTAAGTGAACACATCTGTTTTCCATGGAACAAAAAAAAAAAAAAAAGCCTAAGTTTTACTTAACTTTTACATTTCTAGTATGTAAAAAACAGAGAACTCCAGCTGTCATGATGAGACTAACGTTCTATCCCAAGGGAAGGTGCATCTTGTATTCTGAAGAGAGCAAGCCTACCCAGACTGAAAACGCTACCACGGCAAAGTCATAACACAATGGTTGAACCTCGGCTAAGCAGGAGAGCTGCGTACCCTATTCTGAGGGATTTCTCCCTTACTTTAAGTAACGAAGTCTCCACATTTGGGTGTCAGAAACGCATGCCAGCTGGAGCTGGGTCACGCAGCGGGGCCCAACTGGCCCCGAGCCCCTCCGTGAGGTCGATGTGCCCGACGAAACACGTCCTCAACTCAGGAGGCTGGCAAGGAGGAACACCCCACGGTTACGAGGGAGCTCTTTAAGGGCAGCCGCTGGCCTACGGGGATCGCAAGCTCAGCCAGAGGGGTCCACATTTAAAGATGAAATCAAATTAACGGTAATCTCAAGATAACGCAAGACAAATTCGCTGGTGGGGAGAGACCCGGCCGGGAGCGGGCGCGGCGCCCCCCCCCGCAGCGGGACGGAGAGGAAAATGCTCGGCGGGGCCAGCCCCCCGCGTACAAGGTGGCTCCGGCCCCGGGAGCGGGGGGACAGCCGGCGGGGAACCGCACCACAGCCGCGGCCCGGCGGGCAGCCGAGGCCTCCGCTGCGGGCCCGGCCCCCGGCCCCGCTCTCCCCGCAGCGGGACAGGCCCAGGCGCAGGCCCGCCCCGGGAGACGCCCGGCCCCGGGGCTGCGGCCCCGCTCGGCACGGCGGCGGGGTTGGGGAGGAGGCGCGGGGGGGGGAAGGCGATGGGTTGCCCCCCCACCACCCTCGCGTTCCGGCCTACGGAGCCTCGGCGCTCGCGTACCCGCCGCCCCCCCTCACCTGCTGGTACCGGGCGCTGCCGGGCTCGGCGGCCGCCATGGCGCTCGGCGGGGCTGGGGCGGGCAGGAACCGGGGCGGGGAGCGGGGGTTCGGCGGCGGCGCTGCCCGGCCGCCTCCCGACGGGCGCTGCTGAGGCAGAGGAGGAGGAGGAGGCGGCGGCCGGGTCGCTGCTCGCTGCGGGCTCCGCTCCCGCCCTCCGCCCGTACGCGCCCGCCTCCCGCCCCGCCTGCGGGGCCGCGTCCCGCCGGCGCCCGGAGCCGCCCCGGGGCGGGGGGGCAGCGCTCACACCGCGCGGAGAAAACCCCCGCGGGGGCCCGGCCGCGGAGCGGGGTTCGTGGGGGGACCCGCGGGGGTGCTATGGGCAGGCGGCGCATTCCCCTGCTCGGCGGGAGCTGCAGCAGCAGCCCCACCGCCTCTGTGCGCCACATGCCCTGTGAAACTTCACATACAGTTCCTCAGAGTGAAAGCTTTCACAGAAAGCATCCGAGAAACCCAGGGAGTCAAAAAATGGGTGGAAACCCAAGTTGTAAACGCTGCCTCGGTGAGGACCCGCTGGGGACAGCACTCGCGGAAAAACTGGTGGGTGCTGAGCCATGTTAACGGTGTTGGTCCTATACACCCATCTCCAGCACCACGTCCTTTGCCGACACCAGCCCGCAAACCGGCTGGTCTTGAGCCACGTTAACAGTGTTTGTCCTATACACCCATCGCCAGCACCACGTCCTTGTGTGCCGACACTAGCCCGCACTCCCGTTCCCCGCCCGGGCAGGGAAGAGGCCTGCGACGCGCTGCGCTGCAGCTGAAGCAAACAGGAGATGTTGGCCAACTCCTCAGAAAGCGCCGTCGGTTCTTTCATACCCACAGAAAGCAGATGGCGTGGCAGATTCATAATCTCATTCCAACAGAAGCACGCGTTTTTGCGTTGATTGTTACACTGGTTAAGAGACTTCCCAGCTTTTGTAACCTTTATTTTCTATGTGTGCAGCTCAGCTCCAGTCAGGCTTGTACAAAACTACCCACATCAATCCTTAAGGTTGATGAGACTTAAATATATCAGCTTTAGGATGAGGAAGGCTGAATCAGCCCCGCTGGGATTCCAAGCTGCAAATTGAGAGTCGCAAGCATTTAAACCTGGGGACATGAATTTGAACTGCGTACTCAGTCATAAATACATGCCTTAATGCTCATTCTTCAGTATCATAGCCAGGTTTTTTTTCTGTATTCTGTTTTTGCAGGAGTAGGTAGCTCACCCATGTCAGTGAGACGAATGAACATCACAGTTCTCATGTTGAAGGAGAGGCAGGAGTTGTAAAGGATTTTAGCTGAGAATAACCTCCAAAAGTGACTCCTGAGAAATGCTGGAGACACAAGGACAATGCAGGTTTCTTGCAACACAACTCACGTTTCACCTTTCCAGAAGATTCACGATTTGCACTAAGAATCTCTGCAGTAAGAAGCTGCGCGCATGGCATGCACAGATTTACTTGCCATTGAGGTGGGATTATATCCCTAAATAAGGCTGTAGCCACAGTGGTAAGTAGCTGTACACTGATTGACTTGGACATCGGAGAGACTAAAATAGGAAGCAACCTATACATGTCCTCAGAAAAGATGCTGGAATGTGTCCTGAAGAGATGGTGGAACAGTTTGTGTCAAAGCCATTTGGGGGCCAGCTGGAGGCAAATCACCACCTAATTAGGCCATCCAGTCTGAGCAAGTCTAATTCAGGAGGAGTAATGGCAATTTCTTCCAGCTGCTTGCTGTGTATTTATTTTTTTTTCTTAGGTGGGGAAGCTCAGTAGAAAGATGATGCTGTGGTTACAGGGCATGACTAGTTCTTCTTTCATTTCCCACATCATTTTAGGCAAATCACTTCATGCCTCTGTGTTTTCTAACTTTTCCCCCAGTACAAAATGTCTTTTCTCCCAAGAGATGTTCTGAAGCTCGAAGTCATTGCTTTTAAGTGACCTCCGCATGGGATGTGCTGTGAAAGTATTTGAAAGTAATTGAAAGTATTACAGAATTGCCGTACAGTGAGTCTTCTGAAATCCTAGCGCTGTACAAGTGTTCCTTTAATTATTGTGTATGACTAAGCAATAAAAGGAACACTTTTAGTCTACACTTTGTAATAAATATTGAACTGTAAAAGCTAAATAGTAAGCCACAAAAGCAGGGCATTTTAAACCTAGACTAGTAAAAAATAAGCAGGACATTGAAACTAGATCTTTTTTCTAATCTTTTAGTGATAAACGACCCAATTAAGAAAAAAGCAAAGATAAAATGTTCACACGAGCCAACGGGTCAAGTTGTACCTGTGAAACTCCTCAGTTTAATAGCTTAATCATATGCAAGCAGGCTGCAACTGGCAGGTTAAGAAAAAGTAAGCGTGACAGTGAAGTGTTGTTCACTAAAAGTCTGGATTATTCACCTGTTTGCAATGCTGGGCTCAAGGAAGACAGAAACTATTACAAATCTGATTCAAAGAATGCTGGTATCAACCGAAACTTCACTGTGCTGCCCACAAAACCTCGAGGGAGTGCTGGGAGCTGGGCTGCTGTTGGCCACTTGGTTCCTTCACTCCCAGTAGCTGTTTGCAATGTTCACTGGTTGCTGGTACATTTATATTCTTACCGAAAAAAACTTTTTTGACATCAACTATAAAGTGAGCAGTATTCCTGTGCCCCTAGAGACATACATACTTAATATGCAAGAAGTAGAATTACAGGGTTTGAGTATACATATATGTCATGTCTTGTTTTCACACTGTGGAATTACTTCATGAATTATAGTAGTATAATTAGGCTGAAGAGATTTGTAAAGGATTAATAAATGCTGTCTAATGGATGTTCCTCCCCAAAACATCATGAAAGACTCCTGCAAGTGTGAAAGTACAAAGACAGGACAAGGAGCAGGAGATGGATCTCTCATATGTAGTTCACTTTGATATGACTGTCAATTCTTTCTAGCAATTTACTGATGTGAAATTAGTTTTACTTTGAGACACCACTATATACCTTGATGCTCTTCAGCTTCTTAACATTTTGTACTTGGTAACATGTTGTATTTGAATCATCTTTTAGCTTTTGCCAGTTCAAAGCTTTACTGACAGAGTACAGCATTAGGCTCATCTCGAGTTGGTTTAAAACCCTGTTACTGATGTATCTACAGTAGGTCAGGGCCTCGCTGGGTCTTTCTGGTTTTGCTGCCTCTTCAGAGAAACAGAACTGGTGAGACCACAGTCTGTGCAAGCACGAACCCCAGCTGTTTCCCAGGCAGCCTGGCTTCAGCCCTCTGGATGTGCCTGCCTTTATGCTGCCTGGTCAAATGTGCTCTGACACGGCCTCTAAGAGCACACGGAGGCCCCTGGCCCGAAGCCCCACGACAGCCCCTGGCCAAGCAAGCTGCTCCACACCTTGTCCAGCCTTGGCAGAGGATGGCTCACCGGCACGGCAGAGCCAGGCCTGGATCTCTGTACAGAGCTTTGAACACGCACGCAGCTGCAATTTTCCATGATTGTTTGTTGTAACAACAAAAGCTGCTCGGTCATGTCAGGTCTGCTGTAATGAGGAGTAGCTACACAGCGAGCACAACCACACACGCTCTTACAGCCCAAGCAGAGCTATTCATAAGGAGTGCCTTGTTTACTGGTGCAGAAAATTACGCCCCAATAACCCACGAATATGTAAGGAAGGGGAATGAAGATAGCAGCAGCACTGAAATGGAAAACTTTCCCAACGGGACTTCTCTTGAAGTTCAGCATCAGAACTGGGGGTCAGATATCGAGCAACGTGGCTGAGTTTGTGCTGACATGTCGGGCTGTGAGCGGGGCAAGGCAGACAGCTCAGCTCCGAACTGCCTTCGTCTAGCACAGCCAGCTCTGGCCCAGCCTGATTTTTGGAGGCCTAACTCACCAATTTTACTGCTGATCTCTGTCGCTCCATTATTTTTTTCAGCATACTGGAGAAATCACAATTAAACGATGGTTATTTTACTCTTTCTGTCCCGATTAAATCCCCTGCTGCATCGGCTATCAGTTTTTAACCTGGTGAGGAGTGAAGCTCTGCCAGCTTTCCCATGGGAGCCTCGTCTGCAAAAACGGGAAGGGACTGGCATGTGTGCTCCCCAGAGCCGCCTGCTCGTGCACTGCCCTAGCATGTCTGCTTGCTGTGAACCCCCACACGCTCCTAACTGGGATTTGAGTGCTGCTGGGAGAGCTAGGCAGTGAGTGGTGCTTGCAGAAGAGAGCAGCTCCCCTCCAGATCTGTCCAACATGGAATCTTGTTTCTCCTTTTCTTACAAATAGGCGTGAGAAGGTAAGTGGGATGTGCAGGAGCAGGAAGTGATGACAGATGGTGGATATTAAAAAGACATTTTGATTACAGGATTTGGAGAGAGGGTCCTATATACAAATAATTTTTTAATTGTTGCTTTTTTTGGGAAAAAAATCCCAGCGCTCCCAAGAGTTCCTGGTAGCGAAAGCCCTGGTCTCTGAGCACTGCTGACTCTAATCATTTCAACACAGAGAAAAAGAAAACGCTGTGCTTGTTAGAACTCCTTGGTTAAACTTCAACTTCTTCAGAGAAGTGTTTGTTTCCTTCCATCTGCTGCCTTTGCAAGGAAGGAAAATCAGCCTGTTCAGATACCAGGAAGTTCTTCAACATTTGAACAGCTAGCTGTAAACGCAGGAACAATAACATGCATAAATTATCATAAAAATACCCTGCATGCTAGTCACACATATAACCCAGCCCTGGAGCAATTCCTAAGTAACGTAAGACTTCGTAAAATATGCAGATACACGGGATGTGGGCAGAACAGGGCAGCTGTGGTGGCAGATGCACGTGCCGGGCTCTCTTGCACCGTTGTAGTTTTTGCCTCTCATCAAAACATGTTTTGCTTTTACTGGGAGCTGCCGGCTGCCTCCTACGTCCTTGTGCACTATATCTGCCAAAGCCACTTGCACAGGAGATTAAAGCCAGAGCCAGACCCTCTGCAATCGACAGAGAAGCACGGCGTTTGAATTTAAACCAAATCCATCTTGACTTTGGGGCTGTGCAAGCAGCGTGGCAGGATGCTGGAAGGCCGATCCTCAAACGTAGCAGCTCTCCATACCTCCGAGGGGGCAAGATGCAGGAAAGAAGGCGAGGCAGGCGACAGAGTGACGGCTGTCCATGGGCCGCTCTGTCGGCAGATAAACCCGACAGCCAGCAAGTCACCCCACGGGGTGGGACATGGTTGTCACCCTACAGCTCACCGCCACGGGAAGTCCACCGTGCCTCTTACAATCCCTTCCTCTGTGGCCTGTGCCTCCAGCATTTGCTTTTCAGAAATCTCCTAGCCCTCGCTGCGTTTCCGTGGTAACGCTGAGTGATCCGAGGTGGGATATTTGCAGAATCGAGGTGCTGGTGCACTCTCCCTACCAAGCCCTGCTGTAGTTCCGGCTTTGCACGCCAGAAGCTGCAGGTGTGCTGCGGGAATGGTGAGGTGTTCCTCACCACAACTCCCCGTCAGCGTGCAGGTCAGGAGGCACGCTCACCAGATTCCCTTCGTGCCAGCAGTACCTGGCAAATGGATTGAAGCGGCCCTGGGATGGGGGTTCAGGATATGTGTTCAGACCCCAGCCAGGTCCCCACTGCCCTGGTCCTGCGCCCATGAACCCTCCCACGCTGTAATTCCCACCAGTGCCTACGGGACCGACAGGTCTGTCACACCAATATGACTTCGATGGGAAAAGCAGAAAAGCTGATTCACACCAAAGTCCGGCTGCCCTGCACTGCAGGAGAGCCGAGGATGCTGCTGCTGTCAATTCTTCACCCAGCACCACAGCCACCAAAATACCTTCCTGCCTGCTGGCTAACCACTGCTGATGGAAACACACGGAGCTTTCAATTTATTTAGTCTCTGTGGCCTAAAACTCTTCCCATGTCCGACCACAGCTGTCTGGCTATGGCCCGTCACCCCTCATCATTCCCCATCCAAATGCAAACCAAGCCAGGGCTTTTCAGCATCCGTGATGAGACAACTCAGTCTAGCCAGGTTGTTTAAATTATTAAAATAAGAAGGAACTGCATGGGATGGATCCTAGCAAAGCAATTTGTATGTTATTCTTTCTTCTAGTGAAAGTGAAAAGCTGTCTAACTTTGAAGTAAGAGCTCTGCATCTCAACAAAGAACCAAGACTTTGCAAGGAGAGGTCTGGCACATTTCCATCACAGCTTGAAGAGAGCCACAGCAAGAGCAGAAAGATCTTTTGGGGGGATACCTCTGCTGTCAGGAGCAGCACAAACATTGGCAGGTCACGGCCTGTTCATTGTCCCTGCAGCCGAAGCCCCAAAATGACGCCAGCATGCCCTAAGGCGGGTCCCTACAAAAAGCTTCAATTGTGAGAGCTGCTTGCTGCTGCCCGTTGTGGGTCACTGCCAGACCCCCAGAAGGGCCGTAGGGCCAGCGGATCCTGGAAGTGATGGGGACACCCCAGCAGAAGCATGAAGGACTACGGACGTCTAAAGATCTAATTGCCTTTTTAATGCATTTGGGGAAAACCATCAAATCATAGAATGGTTTGGGTTGGAAGGGACCTTCAAGACCCTGCCCCGGGCAGGGACCCCTTCCCCCAGCCCAGGGGGCTCCCAGCCCCGTCCAACCTGGCCTTGAACCCTTCCAGGGAGGGGGCAGCCACAGCTGCTCTGGGCACCCTGGGCCAGCGCCTCACCCCCGGCACAGGGGAATTTTTTTTTTCCCCTTGGTTGGTTCCCAAAAGCTTTCTCCAGGCATACAGCACGCTTCCCGTGTTCATAACGCATTGGAGCAGACCGCTGCCAGCCCGAGCCACCCCTTTGCTGGGTGTATTTAACCGCTTCTTTAGATTTTAACCCTACGATCCTCCCGGCCCGAACGCGGCGAGGCCCGCTGTTCCAGCCCTGCGGGGCTCCCTGAGGCGAGCGCGGCCGCCGTGAGGGGCCGGGCCCGGCGCTCACCGCCCGCGGGCGGGGCGGGCGCGGAGGGCGGCGGAGCGGGCGCGGAGGGCAGCGGGGCAGGCGCTGCTGCCCGGGGTCACGCCTGCGGACGGGCTCGGCGGGCGGCGGTGGCTCGGCGGGCAGGCAGGCAGGTAGGTGGGTGGGGGGGTGGGTTGGTAGGTTGGTTGAAGCGGGGCGGGTAAAATGGCGGCGCGGCGGGAGCTCGTCAGCTTCGGCTCCCGCCCTGCCCAGCCATGAAGCTCGTCATCCTGGAGACCTACGCGCAGGCCAGCGAGTGGGCGGCCAAGTACATCCGCAACCGCATCGTCCATTTCGGGCCGGGGCCCGGGCGGTTCTTCACGCTGGGGCTGCCCACAGGTGGGTGCGGGGGGGTCGGGAGCGGGGCCGCGGCGCTTCCCCGCGGCTGAGGCGCGGCTGCCCCGCAGGCAGCACCCCGCTGGGCTGCTACGGGAAGCTGGTGGAGTACTGCCGGAACGGGGACCTCTCCTTCAAGTACGTGAAAACCTTCAACATGGACGAGTACGTGGGTGAGTTTCGCGTTTGGCTTCCGTTATCTGTTGTGCTGGCGGGTCTGTCTCTGTCTGTCTGTCTGTCTGCGCGATGTGGGTGTCTGGATGCCGAGGCAGGGCCGCCCACGCTCGCTGCCTCGGGCGGACCGCCGTGTGAGAGCGAGGTGGGTGCAGGAAATCCCACCCGCCAGAGGTTCAAGGTAGGAAGGATAAAATTTGTATTAACCAAGGGAGTGAATGGGGACAGTTTGAAAACCTGTATAAGAAATACTACAGGGTATCAGGTGCTGTCTGCTATTACACACGCTAGACAACGCAGTATTTTACCTGAACATAGGCATTGACTAGCTAAGGATCCATTTTCCACCATAAGAATGATCAGCCACTACAGTAATCTCCCGGGGAAAGTGGTGGATTCTGCTTTAAGATTCAGCAGGACAGGGTGCTGGGCCACCCTGTCTAGACTGTGCTTTCTGCCAAGAAAGGTTGGACCAGATGATCCTTCAGGTCCTTTCCAACCTGGTGTTCTATGATTCAATGATCTTATCATTGCAAGTGGAGATAGCGTGCAATATGAGCTACCACCTTTGCTCTGAGATTATAAAGGTCACTTGAGCTTCAGGTCTCTTACAAGGGCACTCCTGTTAAGATAGCAGAGGACTGTTCACTTATGAAGCTGTGGTGAAATGGCCTCTTCAGAAGAAAGAGTATGGAGAGATTAGTGGGCGAGCCTAAAGCTCCAAAGGTGAAAAACACACAGGATAAATATTTGCTAATGATAATTAGCAAATCCGGTCAATAATTTTTTCTGTGAACAGTCCTCACCAAGAAGCATTAGGGAGTGGGCAGTCCAGTGTGGGTTTATAGCATTCAAGTGGAAAAAAAATATGCAGTAAGTTATTTCTCAGGCTTGCGCACAGCTTTTTAAATCATTCTTGCTAATACGAACTGGGAGGAAGGCTGAAAAGGTAGCAACAGATAAGGCACAATGTATGCCTGCTTTTCTGGAACATTGTTGTATGTTAATAGGATCACATTTTACAGGACCTGTTGTGATGGACTTTAATTTTGCTATGTAGGGAAATAAAAACAACTCATGAAAGTTGAGGGAGTCACAAATGGCAGAGGAAGCAGTGCTCGGTTACCAAAGCCTCTGCAAGGACCTATAGGTGGTTTATGTTACGGGTGATATTCTTTCAGTTGGTCTTAGTCCCGTGCATGCTCTCTTACCAGGTCTCCCAAGGGATCACCCGGAAAGTTACCATTCCTTCATGTGGAATAACTTCTTTAAGCATATTGACATCTCAGCAGAAAACGTCCACATTTTGGATGGAAGTGCACCTGATCTACAGGCAGAGTGTGATGCGTTTGAGGATAAAATCAAAGCAGCTGGAGGAATTGAACTCTTTGTTGGAGGTGAAAACTTGAAGGACTAGCGGTCTCTAAGCACTGGCAGGAAGTGCTGCCTTTCCTCCGCCAGCTGGCTGTCTCATTTATTGTCAGGAGAGTTAATTTTCAGTGCAGTTCAGTGGATTTGCAGTGAAAGGCACCCCATATACCACTGCCCTGGGCGTGCCTGTGCGCTGACAGCCCTGTTTTGTACCACTCCTCCAATTTTAAGTATTTAAAACCAGTAAGTGAATTGTTCAGGAAGCAATCAGCAGGACAAACATGCAGGGCTAGGATTGTACTGAATATAAGACATTTTCCAGTGCTAACAGGAAGCTGCTAGGAGTAGTCAGTCTCCTCTGAGCCAACAGGAGCTCAGCGCAAACTTTTCCCATCAGTTTGCCTCAGGATTCTGCCATCTACTTTGTTTTATTGTCCCAGCACAGTTAGGGAAGAGTCTCTGTTGACATCAGGGGGGGCTTTTCCTATCATTCCTACCAGAAACAAATTTGAGCTTGAGCAGAAAAATTGCAAGTATTTTCCTCAGATCTGTGTCTATTCTCGAAGCATTGCATGTCCTTCTCACAGGAGTGCTGTTGGCTCTGCTTCCTACAGTAACCGCTACAGCCCCTGACCACCTTCTCACATTGTCTCTGCCACAGGTATTGGCCCAGATGGTCACATTGCCTTCAACGAGCCTGGATCGAGTTTGTCATCCAGGACGCGGGTGAAGACCTTGGCTACAGACACTATATTGGCTAATGCCAGGTTCTTTGATGGTGACCTCTCCAAAGTCCCCACAATGGCTTTGACGGTCGGAGTAGGCACTGTTATGGATGCCAGAGAGGTTAGGAGTAAAGGAGTGGCTTCAGCAGCTCTTGAGCAGGGCTTCCTGGAGTAGCTAAAGTTTATCCAGCCCTGGAGCAGCATTGCACCCTGCTGGCATAGGCCAGCTTATGCTTTTCCTGCCATGGACAGCTGAATCCTCCTGTTCTCCTGCAACACTATGGAAAGGCTCTTGCTCCGTCCTCCGTTTTTGCTTTACTAACACTTAGGTTTGTGTAACCTTGCAGTACAGTTGTGATCCCCGGGGAGCTAGAAAGGTTTGGGAGGATGTCTTTGGTTAAGAATCTCATCTGGGGAAATAACTGCAGAATTGCTGGTTGACTTGATGTTATACCAGCAGAGCATGAAAACTGTGTAAGATATATCTTGATTTATACTTGTTAATCCTCAGCATATAGGTGCCTGACACCTCAGAGCTCAGATGATCCAAGTCACTACAATGACCCACCAGGCTGTGATTTAATTGACAAAGAAACACAGCCAGAGCAAACAGAAGTGTGATGCAGTGAAGTGCCTCTGGGGAGGACGATGGACATTGTCCCCTGTTGGGGACTGGGGCAGCTCTCTTAATTCAGCAGGGCGTGGGTGTGCTCTCTCTGGACATGTCTTCCCGTCCCTAACTGCTGTCCTCTGTGTCTCGGAGTCCAGGTGATGATTCTTATCACAGGAGCCCACAAAGCCTTTGCTTTGCACAAAGCCATTGAGGAAGGTGTCAACCACATGTGGACAGTATCTGCTTTCCAGCAACATCCCAACACTGTGTTTGTGTGCGATGAGGATGCCACACTGGAACTCAGAGTTAAGACAGTGAAATACTTTAAAGGTGAGTGTTTGACCAGGCCAAGCAGTGGTTGTACTTAGTTTTTAAGTGGCACAAGTGATGCTTTGCATTAGCTGTTTCTGTTTAATTGACTCCCAAAGGAGTACATTTCTTAAATACAACAGCTGAGGTGTACAGCAGTAATAAAAGTGCAAAGGTAATGCTTAGCTGTGTGAGTATGGAAGCATAGGAACAAGGAGTCTAGCAACATCTAATTTCACTAGCATCCAATGAATGAGAATTTTGCTTTATATGTCTACTTAAGTCATATTTTTACTTGCTACATTAGGTTTAATGCTGGTTCACAACAAGCTTGTGGAACCCTTATACAGCATGAAGGACACAGGAGCAGAACGAAGCGAGGCTAAGAAGCCATACAGCGATTAATCTCGCTGTCCAGAGTAGTGCTGAACCAGCCTTTCTGTTGGAAACCAGCTGTGAAGAAAGGGAGTTACTGCAGAAACTCTTCTCATACATGTTCATAAATTAGCAAAATGATTATGTGCTTGCTTCTTTCCATTAAAAAGACAGATGCCAAACACCTGCCTTAACCAAATGAGGATGGGATCCAGTGTACTGTGTTCCACAAACTGCCACTAACTTATTCTCTGAAGGTAAAGTCAATGGAGAATGAGTTGTTTCATCTGTGAAGCAACTGTAATCATATGACTGAAGGCCCCAAAACTCAAATGTGAAAGCACGTGAAAGTACAGTGTTGTAGAAACCAAACGGGTAATCACTTTGGGGTGTATTTCTTGCAACTGGGAGAAGTGCCTTTTATGTCACACCCTCCACAATATACTCTTACGTTATAGCCCTTTAAAATGGGAACTGGGCTTGCTGAGTCTGGAGAAGGGAAAGCTTCAGCATAACCCCACAGCAATGTGCTTCACAGCTACGAGGTGGTCATCGAGACCACAGGGCAAGAGTTGAGACAAGATGCTCAGACTGGATATAAGGGAAAAAACCTATGCCTGAGAACAGTCAAGCGGTGGGGGAGGTTCCCCAGAGAGGTTTTCAAGTCCTGACTGGGTAAAGACCTGGCTGAACCCCGCTTTGAGCCAGATGTTGGACTTGAGCCCATCTCAGCAAAAGAGAGGCTACAGGCACCATTCACCAGTGCTGTATTAATGTGGTTTATGCATCTGTATGATTTTATTTGTTGTCACGCAAGAAGCCTTACATTTTCAGTTTCTGGGTATAATTTTATCTGCCCTGGTGCTTTACGATGGGTAATTTGTTCGGATTAAGCATAAATGACTTCTCTCAGTGTTGCTCAGCACTCTGTTATTTGTGTCAGTGCGGAGCCTGAAGCAGTAAGTTCTCTCTCCTTCCCATGCTTTACATTGCTACAAAGAAATGACAAGTAAGTCTCAAAGGAGACACTCTCTTCCCTCTGGCCATAGCCCATGTTTAATTACAGAACAGCAAACAAACTGTAAATAAATTTATATTGATGGATTTGGTGCTTCCATAAAAACAGGATTAGCAATTCAAGCTGAGAAGAGTTTTAAAATTTTAAGAAAAAAGTGACCAAACCACCCCCTCCCCCATAAACCCTTTTGTTCTTTTCATTTTTGCTTTGGTTGAGAGCTCAAATACTCTGCAAATCATTATGCCAAGACTGCAGCATGTGAGAAACCTGAGGCAGGAAAAGGTCTGAACTAGTGTTTAGAAATCGGGTATTTATGATCTACCTAGTCCTAAAGTAACTCCAACACTAAAGAGACACTACTGAGAAAGGAGCCTTGGAGAAAACATACTCTGATAGTGGAATGAAGACAGCAAGAAGCTTTCCCATAAAGCCACATTCTACACGGTAACCTAAAATAAAGGCATGTTTTAAAAAACTGCTGTGGCTTATTACATGGCTGCCACGCAAAGCAAAAGGCCTAGTCTTTCAAAATCTTCCAGAAGCTGTTTTTAGAAGATCAGACTTAGAGACAAAGAACAGTCAACTAAATACAGAGAGACGACGAGGCCCTTACTGCACAGAAATCCCCCGTAAGTGAAACTCACACCAGGATGAGCAGGAGTATCGCAGCCAGGGTTCAAGCTGTTCCTGAAAGGGTCTTGTTAATAAAGACAGAAGCAAATTCCCAAGCAAACGTAAATGGAAAGTGAAGTAGAAATAATGTCAAAATAGTCCTTGGCTCAAATTACTACTGGGGGGGGTGGGGGTGGGGAATGGGGGTGGAGATTTGTTTCCTGGATTTTGGTTTGGTCTGAGATTGAGTTTTTTGGTTGGTTTTGGACAACGTCCTGCACTGGCAAGACCCCACCAATTCCGAAACTTGATTCCCAGGGTTTCCCATCAAATGCTATCACGTGAGGGGCAAGACAAACAGCATTTCTCTTCTTTATGCAGAAATTTGATAAGCTGTTGATCTGAAATGTAATTTTCTACAGTGAATGTCTTAATTTTTTCTGAACAGTTACTCTGACTGTATCTGGTGCCCAGTGTCACTGGGCTAGTGAAACAGTTTATGTGACTGGACAACAAAACCTGAAGCATAAGACCTGTTATTTTGCACAAGAGTTCCTCTATCACCTAGAACCAAAGCTGTATTGAAAGCAGCTGGGTAGAAATAGCTACTGCTGCTCCCCACTTCAGGAGCTCTCCCTGCCCTGGTCCAGTGCTTGGTGGAAACCTGCAGCAAACACCTGCGACAGCTCTGTCCTGCCAGACAGCAGCAAGCAAAGTGGGGATCTTCAGAGGAGAGGAGGTCACGATTCTCTACCTTTTACCACAGAATGTCTGCAAATCATCTAACACGCACTCTGCGTGTGATCAGAAATGGAGAAAGGATGTCTACAAGAGGAAAAAGTACACACTGTGGATGAAGCTGCTGCCATGTGAGCGGAGCTGCCTGCCTTGCTCTGTGCATGAAGACAGGTTCTGGTTTTAGCTGTCCCACCTTTGCACCACCAGCTGATTGTCCTATGAGTGTGGTCACCAAATTGTCCTCAGAGGGTCCGTCCATCACTGCCACACTGCAGAATGTGGGAGCTCCAGCCCAGGGCTCCCCAAGTGCCCAGAATTCACAGACAGTGGTGGCTACATCCCCGCTCCTCTCTCCACACAAAGTTCTTGGAAGCAGAGGTCGTTCGCTGCAACATCTTCAGATACTTTACCGCAGCGCTTGTGCTCCGGTAGCTCTGGCAGACGTCCCCAGCCATGGCTTTTCATCCCAGCACAGCCTTTGCAGACCAGGCCCTGCCCTCGGCCCACCGCTGTCCCGGCAGAAGGGACCTGCCCAGCCTCCTGGGGCACCAAGATCCACCACGAGCTCTTCCATTTGGGCAGGAAAGCAGGGTTTAAGCACGTGCGTCTCCTTGTCAGAAACATTCCCCATCTGCCCACACGTGCAACTTAGCGAGGAAAAAAAGCTCCTTCTGAAACCAGGTAGCTTTTGGATTCAGCATGTAGAGTTAAAAATTGTGGCCAGAGTGGAAACTCCTGTGGGGAATCGCAGCTCAACGCTGGCTGCATCCAATGCGGATCCCAGAGTAGTGTCATGACAGCCAGTGCCTATCAGTTAGGGGCTTATATCGCTGGGGGAAATCCAGGGCTCTTTGGGTGTGAGGGCACTTTGAATAACCAACCGTCCAAACTCTGATCAGCAGAACATCCCGTACCAGCGTCACTTGGGAGCCAGCCCAGGTCTGTGCGAGTCGGCGAGCGAGCGCCGCGGCACATGGGGACCGGGCGGTCACCACCCAGGACAGAGCTCGGTCCCACACGCTGACCTGTGCTGCCGTACATGTGCCAGAATGAAGACAAGCAGGGAGACAACTCTGTTTACTGTCTTAAAGTGAATTTAGTGCATGTGAAAGGTGCAGGAAATACAATTTAAACCATACACAATGTAAACTTTCCCTACACACTACCCTACAGCCTAAACCAATACAAGAGATCAGCCCTTACCATCTCTTATCTTTTTAATCACTGCCAATTCTAACAGTACAGACTTTCATCCTCAGTGAAAGGAACTAGATCAGCACCTATTTTGGCCTGATAACTGAGTATAAATTTATTTACTAAGTCAAAACAGAATTGTTCACCTTGAGCTTCTGAAGAGTCTTCCAGCTCCTGAGCTATCCATCTGGGCCCTGGTAATTGTTTTGAACACAGCACATGCAGTTTTCATTTAAAAATAAATTTTTAGACCATTCTGCAAGTGGAAAAACTTCTTAAAAATTAGTGGTTCCCTCCAGTAATTACTTTCATGCTCACAAAGCTATTTACTGAGCTTGTAGGGGAAACAATTTTTTTTTTAAATAATTTGAAGTGCAAGAACAGTGGAAATAAGGGATCTAGTCCAGAAGCAAAACTATCAACTAATCAAATTTCTTATACCAAGAGTTAGTAAAAAATAAATTATTTCATCATTTGAGAAGCCAAGGTAATTTTCAATATCTTGAAGAATTCGAGTTAATCTCAACTATGTATCCTTAAAAATGTGTTTCAACATCTGACTGATACTTTTCATTGGTTTGCTGCCTTAGCAGTGTCACTGTCAAAATCAGGAGAGGCAATGTGAGTGAATACAACGGCAACACTGAGATGAGTCATCGAGCTGATTCAAATTTCTGGAAATGGCCGCTGGTCATTCTCTGCCGAAGCACCTAGTAATGCAAAGACCTGGGTATTACAGCCAGTAAGAAGGGTGTTAGGGATAATTAACTTTACCATCCTTAGAAAGTATCAGTGACAGAGCAATGAGCTGCTTTTCAGAGAAATGGGTCAGGAAATGCTATCGAAGCAACAGGCTCGGTTGCTGAATACAGAAGTTTTGTGTACTGTATCAGAAAACCTTCCCTATCCAAGCAGCAGCACTCCAGAGCTCCAGAAAGAGCACTACAGCTATAATAAGCCCGCTGTGAAACCCACAATGGTTACGAGCCAAGATCCTCAAAAGGCCAGTCTCCCTAAAGGAAACCCCCAAATATTTCTATTATTTCGGGCTTCAGTTTTGTTCGCTTTTGAAAAAGGGGCACCTCTTAGTATATATTTTCCCAGTAGTTTTCCAACTTCTGACCAGCTGCATCTGCCTCTAGCAATCGATGTGATTGTTAGGGCCTTCGGTGGTGATCCTGGTCATAGGATGGGTAAAATGGTCTCCTTTGGTTTTGGCAACAGCCTCTGAAGTATGAGTATCCTGCAGTGCAAGGTAGTTATCATTCATCTCATCACATAATGGAAGTGAAAAGCAAACAAACTTGACACAAAAATGAAAAGCATTTGTCTCTGGTTTGTTCAGCTTTTGTTGCTAGAGAATGCTACTAGTCTTCATCTTCAACCTCCCAGAACTCACCATCAACCTGCATGTTTTGAAACAATCTGCAAGACAGCCAATAATGTACATCAGGATGTAAAGAAAGTAAAATATGTTAAAAAAAAAAGTTAAATTTCAATCTAAATGTGACAAGAACTACAAAAGCAGCAAGTTTCACTGCTTTTTTCAGTATCATAAACCACTCATGCTGCAGTCCTCAAAGTCAACTCAAATGAGCTATTCTGCACTTCTACAGCACATTATACTAGAAGGTTTTGCAGTACCTTATAAACATGATGTCTCAAGAAAATCCCAGAAAATATTAATAATCCAAAACATATTAAAAGGTACCTAGCAGGCTGCTGTTCCTAGCTGGTCTTTAAGCAGTATGTAATCAGCAGCCAAGCCCCCCTGCTCCAAACAGCTTACAATCTAATCGGGCAATACAGAGCTGGGCAAACAACTATAACATATAAACAGCAGGGGGTGGGGGAACAAAAGGGAAGAAAATAGTTTTTTTTATAAAACAGATGAGCTTAGTCAAGATAGGTAGAGGTTAAGCTAAACTGAAAAAAAAAAAAATACACCAGAAGAAAAAGAGAAAGGAAAACAGGGTAGGAAGTGAAAAAAAATTACTGTTGGGAGAAGAGGGAATGCTGAAAAGGGAAGGCCAAGAACAATAAAAAACAAAATCCTGTCAGCCACATCTGGTACAGCAGAATAGACAGTGGGGGATTTAGACTACTGGCATTTTGACTTTTGTATCCAGGCACTGCATATCACAGCGATGGGCATGCAACCCAGTGGAATACACACAGGCTTAGAGGCTGCCATGGTCACACCTCTCTGCCTGCCTGCCCTTTGTCCAGGCAGCAGCAGCACCCTGTCTCTTGATACATCCCTAATAGTGATGATGTAAGGCAAGTTTGCAGCTTTTTAGAAGCAGCTTTTTTACCCAAAACCTTGTGTTACACTATCATATACCTGAGCACCTGCAAGGAAATATTTCACTACACGCTGGTCTCTGTCAGAGGCAGCAAGTAAAGCATCAGGAATAGGCTCAGAAGACTTCTCCAGAATTTTAAACCAAAAATTCTTAAAAGAGCCAAACCATATACCAAATCACTCCTGATTTTTTTTTAATTGTTAGTGTTGGGTCTTTATAAGCATAGACATTTGAGAGAAGAAACTGTGTCTTAAACAGTATAGTTAAAAATTTCAAGGCAAGAATAATCTGGGAGAGACTGTAAGAAAAAGTAGAAAAACAAGTGGTATGGCACTGGAAGAAATACATGTAAACACATACCTGTTAAAGCACGGGGAAGATGGATCATTGAAGTGCCAGTATGGGTTCACCTTTGACAAGGAACCCATACAAATCCAGCAAAAGTACTGCATGCAGCCAGTACACGTCATTTTGTTACAACCACCTAGTTTCTGAGGGGAAGAAAACAAGAAACATCAGTAACAAAATGTCTTGGCTTGGGCTGAAATAGTTAATATTCCTTTTCAGGGACTAGATGAGTGCTGTGTTTTGGATTTAGCTTTGGGTTTGGTATGGGAAAAATACTGATAGCACACTGATGTTTTCAGCTGCTACCGAGACTTCAAGGACTCTCCAACTCCCCATGTCCTGCCCGTGCGCAAGGGCACAGGGAGCAGGGAGGGAGCACGGCCAGAGCACCAGACCCTAATTGGCCAATGAAATATTCCATATCATGGCACGTCACGCTCACTATGTAGAGGAGGGGTGGTTGGGAAGGAGCTCTCTCTCTCTCTCTCTCGCTTCTGGGATTGCGATTGTGGGATCTTGGTAACTCGGGGTCGCTGGCCGGGAACGGGCTGGGGATTGGTGAGCGGGTGGTGAGCAATTACGCTGTACATTGCCTGTTTATATATTTCTTTTTGTTTTCCCCCTATCATCGTCATTGTTCTCGTTTTATTGCCATTATTAAACTGTTCTTATCTCAGCCTGCGAGTCTCCCTTCACCCCTCTAATCCTCTCCCCCATTCCCAGGTGGGGAGGGGGAAGGGAGGGTGACCAGCTGTGGTGGTTGGCTGCTGACCAGGCCCAAACCACGACACAAAATCTCACCATGTCAGTCTTCAGGCCTGTCTCTATATGGTAACAGTCCTCAAAAGCACATCAACCAAGGAATGCATTTTACCTTGACTCTGTCATAACACTGATATTTTTTCACTGTTCAAAACAACTGGAAGCTAGAATTATGTAATTGTAAATTGGCTATGATACTTATAATACTGAAAATTAATATTTTTCTGAAGCTAGTTTTATTTCTTGGCTGTAATCAGAAACAGCAGTAGCCTGAAACACATGGAAAACAAAGGGATTCATACGGATCCATAGTCAACTTTGATCTGTTTAGTACTGGAGTCTGAACAATACCAGTCACTGTGTTTGCTCAGGTCCCTGATCTTAAGAAACATCTCCTCCTTTTCCATGTAACACAGACAGAAATGGAAAGTTCTCTTACCATTTCCTAGAAATGTACCTTCCCCGCTGAGCTTGGAAGCTGTTCCAGCCTAGATACAGAACTGACTTAATTTATGTTAGTTTCTGTTAAGAATTACTACAATTCTTCAGCCTTTTCCTTCCATACTTACCTCTATATGAGTACCACAGCAAGGACAGGACTTGGAGTTCTTTTCTAGCCATTCTTTACTCTCCATCTCCTCAAGGGCTTTCTGAATCACTCGCTTGCCATAGCGTTGTTCCAAAAATCTTTTATTTGCTTCATCTGCTTCTAAATATTCATTTCGCAAATCTATTAATTTCTCTGGGGAACAAAAAAAAACCAAACAAACCCCCAAAACAAACAAACAAAACAGCTTTAGTAATATATTGTGTAAAGAAGTCCAGCCAATAAAGTATTCTCAAAGGCAGCTAACGTCATTAATTAAAAAGCAAGTAAAACATTAGAAAGTGTAAGAAAAAGAATATTAAAACTCCTCTACCTCAAAATTCAATATTTTTACATTGTTTCATTATAAAAGAGGTCAATGGAATTAGATCAAATCTACAATGTAAAATAAACTGAAAAATGGAAATATTTTTTCTGAACATACATTTAATGAAACTTTGTCACGTGATTTTGAGGCCACATAGAGAAGCATCGACCTGATTCCAGTATCAACTTTGACAACAGAAAGTAGTGGATTCCCAGGAAAGGGTAAAAAAAGGCACACAAAATTATTCTTCCCCTGCTATGGCCTCAGAATTTGACAGTGAGCTGCTTAGGAACCTCCAGAGCTGTGGAGTGTCATCAAAGGAATACTTTTTAATTGCCAGCAACAGACCTACTCCAAATGAATGTCTGATCTTTTAGAAAACTCACATGGTGATGAGTTTCCTTGCTTAATTTCTGACTTTCCATCTTTTTCACACAAGACTTAATTGTTTCTTGATCCGTTTCTGAAATACGGCGACTCACCCGCAGTGACTTTACACGGAGAGACCCCATGGTAAGTCATTCTACAGAGAGAACAAAAGGCATAGCTGCAATAGGAACATATGCCCATGATGCAACCTGGCTCTTGCATGACAGGTGTCTGACAGGCCGGGCGAGGGCAATACACCACGTCTGCCATCAGGTCCAAGCTAGACTTCAGAAGCAGGTGGTCATAACGTGCAAACAGTTGCTCTTCCACCAACTCTTTAACCTAAACAAAGATCAAAGAAAGATTACATGCATCTGAAATTCTGAGCCTGCTAGCTTCAGCAAAAAACAGTAAATCAATGAAATAGTACCTACAGCTGGAATGAACTCACTTTATATTCTCCAATGGGTCATGAAAACGCTCCTAGAAATGCTATTCTCATAATCAAATCAAAAGCATGCCGTGTCAAATGCAATGGGAGATTAATTCAGGCCTCTGACCAATGTCAGTGCTAATAGAGTGGGCAAAATATGCATCAAGTGACCCAGTTTTAACTCTGATGCCTCTGTGTGGCTCAGAGTATGAAAAAAAAAAAAACAAAACACAAATGTCCCCAGGTATATTCACGATGCACACCATGGAAAGCCACACCTTGTCTTCTGTAATTATTGGAAAGTTAGCAGAACACTACCATCACTGCTTGCACACTTCTATTACCTGGCCAGGAGCAGCAACAGAAGAACACTTCAGTTCTGGACAGTAGAGAGACTGGACCTGACCATCCCTGATCTTCATTTCAAAGTAGTTCTTCAGGCATGCTTTGCAGTATACATGGTTGCACACGGTGAAGTACATACATTCACTACCCAGCTTCTCATTGAAGCAGATATTGCACAAGTGCATCTTACTGTTAAAGCACTTCCTCCTCTGAGCCTGATCGAAGTCCAAGATTTCTGTAACCAGACTCGACAATGATATCACATCCTGCACAGCTCTTGCATCGATCATATCTTCTCCAGCTGCGGCAGAGCCTGCTGCACCACCACAATCCTTCTCAGCCTCGAGAGAGACCAAAGGTGTCCTGCTCTGCCTGTTCCCTTCATGGCACATTTTTAGCTCGTATGGGGAAGAAATATTCAGATAACTCAGTGTTTCCTCTTTCAGAAACTGCATCCAGGCAAATAAGATCACACAGCCTCGATTCTCTTCCCATACATTGTCCAAATGCTTGCAGAGAGCACTGAGCTAGAAAAGAAAAAACAATTCCAGATTTCAGGAAGTTCTGACAACACGCTACTGCTTTCCTCTCCCATGGTCCTCCTTAGTGCATATTTAGATTTCAGATTCTGGAGTTTTTAATATATATATATAAAAATACATGTAAAAATAACACTCACAGATGCAAGCTTTCACTCCTTAGAATGATGACCAAATAAAAATAAGTAGGAAACAGAAGAAGAGCCAACTGAAAGAGCAATGTAATCATTTATGTCTTAATTTTACTTTCATCTACTACATTAGCATTCCCGAGAGCACTATTAATTATCAACTTACTCGTGATCACAAAAGCTCTGTTAAAATGTTAAAAATATCTTGCCAACCTGGGCTTGGGAGAGCCATTTTCCACTGAGGGTAAACACTGGTGGGGAGGTTGATGGGTAGTCTGGTGGGAGTTTAAAATTCAACACAAGGGGAGGCAGAAAGCAAACGGTGTATTCATATCTGTTGCTCTGGAGGCTCTCTGTGGAACTGCCTGAATCAAAGACAATTCAGACAGAGAAATAATAAGAAGATGAAAACTAATGAACTGCAACTGTTTATGACAGCACTCAATATATCTCTTTTCATTTGATAAATTTCTGGGTTTCAAATGATTTAATCAACCCTAGATAAGAAAACTTCTCACTGCAGTAAAATTTCATGGGGTTGTATGTATACGGTTAAATCAGTAACCACCAGTACTGCGAAATACCAGACCCTGCACAAACCAAGAACCTGGAAAGACATATCCTCAAGGAAAAACAAAAAAAAAATTCCAAAGAAAGAAATACTATTACTCATCTCTAATTTTACAGTTCACTAAAGAGGGTATATGTATGAGGATGAAACCACTTGGTCAGATACAAACCCCAACAGTACCACAAGCACAGGACAGGGTCAGTCACAGCTTTCTCTGGGAGTGTTCCTGTAGGTCACTAGAGCAGCAACCATCTAAGCATGTACTGGAAAATCGGCTTGGTAAAACGTAATTTCAGGATAAGACAAAACATCTCAACTCACCACTCACAAAAATTTTGAAGTTTTGGGGTAACTCCAGACAAATTCTTGTTTCTCCTCCTTGGGCAGACTCAGCTCTCTTAAATTCATCTTCATAAATGCTAGCCAAAGCCAGCAGCTCTTCCTCCTGAGCTTCTTTGTCTTCTGAAGACATTTAAATTTTCTGTGGAGTTAACACCACTCTACAAGATCAATGGAATTAACGCATCCTATTCAAATTACTGATTTGGAGTATCTATTTTATACTATTGTAAGATTCAGAAACCCAAGTAACTGATATAAAACAAAGTAAAACCTAATTAAGCTTTTTTTCAGGTAAAAAAAAATGCTGATAGCTTTATAAAATAAAAACACCTTGACAGAAGATTGAAAAGTCAAAAAGCAAACTGTCTATAAATGTTAACGGCTAAAGACAGCTGTAAGGGGGAAAAATAGTGATACACTAATGACAAAAGTGACACAGGGACATTTCATTAATGTTTAAAAGGGAAAAAAGATCAAGAAAAAACAAGGAAAAGGAATTAGTAACAGTATCTCTTGTCCACTGCTGTAAAACAAACAAGCAAACAGCCCCATTTCTGATTAAAGTTACTGAAGATATGAAGCTTCAAATGCTACGCAAGCATCTTGCAGATACTCCTAGATCATTTCAGTTCTAGATTTGGGGAAGTAAAGCCCTGTGTAATGAATTACCTTTTTATTCACAACTTGCAGTGGCAAAGTTGTAGGTACTGGTTACTGTACAAGGACAGCCACGTTAATAGGGCCAGAGCAGAGCCCCTGATCATTCCTCTGGAAGAAGTGAAGATCACAAACTTTTTCTCACATAAGGCGTGAAAAATTACGACTTTTATCATCAAAGTGCATATGGTTATGGCACCGGTACTTCTGAGCTGCCTGCAGCCACAAAAACAAACAAATGTTCAGAGGGATTAAAGTCCTCTCAGCGTTTTCATTATGAACAATAACAAACATTTTGTTTGAGCTGGCACACTCAGTAATTCAGAATAGGTTTTTTTTCAGCTCTGATAGCAGTAACTCATTTATGTGTATTAGCTGTGGTCGCTTCAATTCCAACTGCTACCTGGACTAACTCAGGAGCCTGGGAAGGGCTGCACAGCATCCAGCAAAAATCCCATGCTGCTGTTTCCCCCTTGCCCCGTTAAGGGAGATTCTTCGCTGCTAAACAAGGTAGCCTTTTTGAACGAGCAGCACGGGAAAAACAAACAAACAAACAAACAAACAACACAAAACCAAACAAATGTACGGGGAGCAGTGGAAAGAAATAAAAAAAAATAAGCAGGCATTCAGGTCAAGCCCCGGCCCCCCCCCCCCCCCCGGTGCTGCACAACTGATATTTTGGTTTTCACCGTTCCCATCGTTCCGCCCAACACAGCGCCGGCAGTTCTGCTGAGGCGGCGGGCACCAGCAGCACCAGCACCAGTACCCAGCAGCACCGGCACCGGCCCGGCCCGCCACCCCGCCCGGGGCTCCTGGGGCGAGGCCGCACGGAACGGGGGGAAGGCCCGGGCCCCGCCGGCCGCTCCTCAGCGCGCAGGCCCAACGCTGCCGCCCACCGCCCCGCGCCCCTGCAGCCCGGCCCAGCCCGCTCCTCGGCCCGGCGGCCCCGTCCCGCCTCACCGCTCAGCCGCAGCCGTGCAGGCCCGGGGACGCCGAGATGCGGCCGGTACCCCGACCCAAGTAGACGCGGGGCGCTGCGGGGAGCGGCTGCCGGGCGGAGGCCCCGTCCCGCCCCTGGCCGCGCCGCAGCGCCCCCCCGCGGCCGGGAGGACCGGCAGCCCCAGCCCCGCCCCCAGGGTTAATTCAACCCCACTTTAACATCTGTAACATCGCCCTCGACAGCACGAAGAGCATTAAAGCCTTCGTGGGGCGAGGCAGAGCTCTTCGCTCCAACACCAAAGCACACAGTCCTTCTACAGCCCCAGACACGATTTTTCTCCTCATGGCAATGAACAGCTGGAGAAGGTTAATCCAGTAGAATCCAGTGCATTTATTTCTTGCAAGGTCTAAATGGGTGGTGCAGCTTTGGATTTTTAAACACATACAAATCAATGGTTGCAAGTTTAATGACAATCAGTACTAGAAGCAAATTATTGTATAAAGCTCATAGAAAAAAAAAAATGCCAAATCAATCCAGTCTTTCTTTTCCTGGGGAAAAAAAAAACAAAAACAAAAACCAAAAAAAAACACAAAACAAAACCCCAAGCATTTCAAACGAAGGCCTCATGGAAGCAAGCATACCTCCTTCAGAAAAAGTTAGGAACAAGTCAGAATCAACTATCAGTGTAGGCAGCTGAAACACAAGTATTCATTCTTTCTACAAGGAGCTAATTTAGAGACAAAAAGTTTACATGGTCTCACAACCTGGGGAGTTTGCCAGGAATACAGTATCATGTCTAAGAGCAGTCTTAGTGTGATCTGTGTGATCCATGTGTTGCCATCCTTGAGATCAGATAAACGAATGGGAGTTTGGGCTGACCAGCCCTGGGAGGGCACTAGCTAACCGATAACCAGACTGATACTACCACCCACGGTTTTGCAAGCCGTGTGTAACTAGGTACTGTTCTAGCGCAAAGCACTAATTCTAGTGTTTTAACACTAAAACAAGGGCTAGATCAAGATGAGCAGAAGGAACACGCCTCTCCCCCCAGTCTCGGGGCAGTCCTAGCATGGATGGGCACTTTAGATAAACACTGCTGCTGCAACCCCCAGGGGAAAGTGAACAAACAACAGTGAGCCAACTCACAGTTCAGCTGTTGCGCTCTCACTACTTCACAATAAGATTGAGTCGCCAAGGACATTAAAAATGGAGAATCAGCTTTGGGCTGTTTCTGTAGGTCTAGTAAGAATACCAAAACTTCTAAATACAATCCTAATGGCAAGAAATACTGCTTATTTGACCAAGTAGTTAGCTACCTAAGCGTTCTGACTTGATGCATTGACCAAACCTCTCCAAAAGTTACTAAGAGTGCTGTGGTATTCACTTGCTCCAATTTGTATTCAGAACATACGAAGTTGACAACTTAAAGCTTTATTGTAGTTTGCAATAATATAAACAAGTGCTGAAATTCAGTCAATGTCCATTTCGGGCAGCTTCTTGTCCGCGGCCGCGGGGGCAGCGGCAGCAGCGCTGGGCTCGGCAGCCGGGGACCCGCTGGTGGCTTCTCCCTGCCCTTCTACTGGTCCGTTGGGTTCAGTCAGCTTCTGCTCCTCCTTGGGGAGCTCAACTTTGGGTTTTGGTTTGGTGACTATAGGATTACAAATACTTGTCAATTCCTAGAAAACAACAGAAATAAAACTGTTAAAGGGCTTTATCTACTAACAGTTGTATTTTAACCTGTTGCTCAAATTAACTTTTGACACCACCAGATGGAACATCACCCCTCAACTTGAATATCCAACACACAGTTAACACATTAATACCCAAGCCCTGTCTGTCCTCCTGTAACAGATTTCTCACCCCAGTTTTCCTCTAAGCACAACTAGGCCAAGAGAAAGATTCTGCATAATTCACTGCATTTCCACAAGACACTTACTTTAGTTTTAGCTTGTATGTCTTTAGCTTTTATAACTGGGTCCAAAGTAAGACTTCTCTTGTTTTGAAGATTAAGTTTATTGTTCATCCACTCCATAGCTTCATTTGCACTCTTCTCCACTTTTGCTACATCTGCTTCATCTAGATGGTCATACTGTTCATCCTGAAACAGTCAAATGAGTAGTATCTGTGCAAATATCTGTTTGGAAAAAATCTAAATTGCACATTTCTTTAAAATTAGTTTCAAAACACTAAAAAGACCATTTAACTAGAAGGCTGTTCTAGTTAGCAGAGCAATTAAGCTGATCACCCACAGCTCTGTAACCAGAGAACTTAAGTTCTGCTGCTGCTGGCATTTTTTCCCTTCCATGAGGAAATCAACACCTGATTAAAAAAAGACCATCAGGTTTTTCAAGCAAGCATCCACTTCTGAAAATACCATAAATATCACGAACTCAGAAGCTAGTGGGGATGTTACACCAGCTTTTCGTTGACAGGAGCTTAAGACTCAGAAAAGATTTGTACCACTTCCTTGCATTTGCCAGAAATTAAGTATCAAAATACCTTTGCTTTGAATGCATGAACAGTTTTCATGTATTGTTGAATTTGCTTCCCTAAGTCCTCAAATGCTTTTGGTCTTTCCTCTGATTCTTGAAATCTTGCCTGAATAGGTTGACCCAGAGTCTGAAACAAAACACAACAGGTATCAAAAACCATGCAGCATCACAATAAGATCCTGCAAGATTTGACAGGGTACATCTACATTTCTGAACTCCTATGGATCATTTACTCTTCCCTCCACTCACAGAAAAGATTTGAGTCTCTCAACCCTGTATTGTTACAGGTCTAGTAGAGATCTGCTCCTCATATTTAATAAGCAAATTAAGTCATTATTTACCAGTGCTGATATCTCAATCAGTAGACCAAAGACAGCTCCTCACTTGAACGCAGTTCTCTAGATTCAGTAAATTCCAACTGAATGCAAGAACCACTTACCTTCAATTCTGTCAATTTATCAATGTAAATTTGTTTGGGTTGGTCTTCACCGTCTTCATAAAGCCAGTTTTCTGTGTCTTCCAGCTTCAGTGTGAAACTATTTCGATCCTGAAGCAATCCATACAAAATAGGTAGGTGAGAATTCTATTAGACAGCAGATGGTATTAAGTGATACTTGGAACCCTTCTGGAAGGGTTATATTTTTAGAATGTAAAGAACTATCTGAAACTCTACCTTATTTTAGTGAAAAATAAGAAACAAAATATTCTTCAGTACAACTTCATGGTGGAGACCAGGCCTAAGGAAGAATTATCTATGACACCCACAGTTGAGATCAATACTGTCACATAAAAGCCTATTTTCCCCCGCTCTTCACATTTTCATCATCACTATATGAGCAAGACTGAGAACAGAGTGAAACCTATCTTTAGCAAAGGTGCCATGAATTTCACTTGACTTGTCCCAGTTTTAGCTCTGATGTAGGTATGTAGGCTCTACAGACACCTTGCTGGCAAGGCTCCCATTATAATCAGCAGTGAGCTAGTCACGAGTTCAGAGAGATTCATCTGACTAATGCAGTCATCTACCATACAATTACACTAATTAAACCCTGAGCTCCTTCAGTACAAGGAGGAAAGCTAATTAATAATATGAAGAGACTTTTAAGCAACCTGTTCAGTTACAAGTGCCCACGTTTAGTCAGACTAACCCCTCCTATTATGTTTCTAGGTAGAGTGGTTTTGGTGGGTTGCCTGTTTTTTGGTTTTTTTTTTGTTTTTTTTTTTTTTTTTTTTTTTTAAGTTTTAAACTATTTCTAAATATTGACAAAAAGCCAAAATAGAATAGGTTGCCTTAAAATGATTGCGCAAGTGTTCCTAGTCTGTTTCAGTCAGAAAACACATGCTCTGATAGTATCTTAATTGCTGCAACTGTTTTGGAAAAGAACACACAATATATCCTGGGTACCATCTGCTTGTACTTGGGCTGCTTGGTTATCTTCATAGCCAGAGAGATTAAAAGCTATTTCTCCAAATTTACAGTTTGAAAATATAGTCTAAGTAAACACAGTAACTGATACAGGTCAAATGTTATTAAGATACAATGGCTTATTGTAACAAAAATATATTAGAAGACAATCAAGCTACCAATACTTACATCTTCACTAACGAATTTCTCATAAATACCACAGAGTTTGTCTCTCATATCATACACGTATTCTTCAACTGCATTCTTGGCATCATTCCTCTCTTTCTCTAGCTTATCCTGCATTATCATTTTACCCTGTGAACAAATTGTTACATTAGTTGGCTAAAAAGCTGGTTATTTAACATTTATTGCCAGGATACCTTGTTACCAAACTCTTAAGTTTGACTCTAAAGATTTTGAAATACTGTGGTTTACAGAACAGTTCTAAACACAGCAGACAGCTAAAAACTAATTTCAGTTTTGGTGGGATAGCCAATACGGTACAGAACAATATTGTTCCAGTTGAGGAACCTTCACCCTGTTAGTAGCAGCCATTGAGTACCTTGTAACTGCTGGTGACTTGGAAACCATCACCCTGTGAACCAGCTTTCCTGCAGAACACCCCTTCAGTAAGAGTTACAGCATTTGCTTAACAGGAAGAATGTATTTTGGTTCCATGGGGTATCGTTGCTCACCTCAAAAAAACCTGCATGTTTTCTTCCTTTTCACCTTTCCCTGATCACCCTTAATTAGCCATGTATAACGAACAGCAACATTTCTGGTGATCAACTGGTAAAATTTTTAGCTTGGCCTAGTAAGAATTTACCTCATTCTCAATGAATAAATTCAGCATATCCTTCCCTATCTGCCACACCAATTGATTCTCAATGGGAAGGTCCACTGTAGTAGTCTTCACTTTCGCCTTCTTGGCCTGAGGCGGTTGATCCACTTTCTTGTCTTTTGAGTCAGCCTGAGAAGTCTGCATTAAAGAAATATATTCAAAGTAAAAACAGCATCGCCAGTCAGTTCAAGCTGAGTATTCATGACTTGTATAGAAAGAGTATTATTGAGTCAGTGCACCTCAACATTGGAACTACACACTAGCTGTCATTCTTATACTTCAGCTGCTAAAGTCAGAGATAATTAATGCAGTTACTGACCTTTTATGGGCACACTGACTACATTCCTGGGGGTGATGGTGCTTATAGTAGACCACTTTTCTAGTGCAGAATAATTTAGTTTTCAGTAACTTAT